GCTCTAAAATGGTGACAAGGATACTTCCCTCAGAAGATTGTCAGAGGAATATTAATAGAAATGGAAATACTTGGCACACAGTAATGCACTAACACATGGTGGCTATTATAAATAATATTGTTATGATTAATCAGCGTTCAAAGGTCAGACCGAGTTCACGTCCATCAAGCACGCAAGATGGGTGCTCAGGACATTTGCCTCCTTGAAGCATGAACCCATCATGGGAGCTGCCTGAGCGCCCCTTCTCTGAAGCCTTGGGCTGGCAGAGGAGACCAGCAGGTACCTCCACCTCCCTTCTGAGGTCCGTCTGCTGCATCGCTGGTCGGGACTGCTGGGTGAGCTCACCCACCTGGTAAGCGTCATGACAACCAAGGAAGGAGCCCAGACAGAGCTGTGGTGATATCTGTGGGTGGCCAGAGTGCGGAGGCCTTGAATGTCCGATGATGGCCGTCTCTGCGGGTCACAGCCCTGAAGGCAGTTAGGCGATGGGCATGAGGAAACGTGTGTGTTCAGAGCACTGCCCTAGCAGCACCACAAACAGCACCAGGGGCAGACTGGCCGTGTGAAAATCCAGCTACTACAGTATCTGGGATGAGGACCCAGGTCAGGAAAGTCGTAGCAAGAATGTGAAGGCTGGGAAAAGACTACGGCCTCCTCCCAAGCGGAGTCAGCCCCACCCCCACCCAACACAACAAGGAAGCTCAGCATCTGCAGACAAGTGCTGTGGCTCATGCTGCCCACCTCAAAGAATCAAGACCAAGACCCCTCAGTTGACCTTAGAAGCACCTCCATGTCTGACCTTAAGCCTCAGCCCTCATAGAAGAGACTGAAAACAGCAGGGGTCTGGCTGGCTTCACACCCACCAGAGCTGAAAGGGACAGAGCATCTGTAGTGAAACATCCTATTTAAAAGCACCAATTTTTAAAAGATGGAAGGTTCACTCCTGGGTATACACCCCAAGGAACTGAAAATGGATATTCAAACGAAAATACACAAACCTTCGTAACGGCAAAATTAACAATTAGCAAAAGGCAGAAACAAGCCAAATACCCATCACCTGACAAGTGGATAATCAAACTGTGGCATGGCTATACAGTGGAATAGTATTCAGCCACAAAAAGGAACAAAGATACCTCCTTAAAGACAGTATAGTGAGTGAAAGAAGCCAGAAACAAAAGGACAACTACAGTATGATTCCATTGATATGAAATGTCCAGAAAAGGCAAATCATAGAGACAGAAAGTAGATGAGTGCTTGCCAGGGGTTTTATAAGGAGGGACTGCTTAATGGGGATGGGCTTTCCTTTTTTGGGTTGATGGAAATGTTCTGGAACTAGATTACGTGGTGGTTGTGCAACATTGTGAATGTATAAACACCACTGAATTGTTTGCTTTAAAATGGTGAATTTTATATTATGTACATTTTATAACAATAAAAAAATGGATGGGGGATGGCCCTCCCAACCCCCACTGATGGGTGAGCACAGGGGTTGAGTAACCTGCCCCCAAAGCTTCCTAGTTACTTTTCCCTCAACACTTAACACCAAGCAGGCAGACGCTCAGAAAGAGCTGAGGACAGAGGACAGTCTAGTCTCTATACTTGCCCCCATGAAGCATGAACCCTGCGCCCAGTTCCCCCCCATCATTAAGAATCTATACATATGCTTACCTGCTCCATTCCCAAACCTGTGCTGTCTACTCCTTCCCCCGCCCTCCCCACACACACCCTAGGACTCCCACTGCTCCTTTTGCCACCACCCGCTACTTCCTGCAGTTCCCTCCAGGTCCAGCTTAAATCCTCCCTTGAGCCCCCTTTTCTGACCTCTGCCCCCACACGCGGGGTTTTAGCCCAGACAATCGTGTGATCCCCTTCCCTCCCCCAGTCCTGCTTTTCCAAGTAGGTCTTCAGCCCGTGGATGCTCAGGGATGCCAGAGCCCTGTCTGAACCAGGCACAGAGCAGCTCCTCAGTAACGGCCAGACCTACCCACAGATGCCCCCCACCCCACCCCAGCACTCCCAGACCAGCACTGTTCAGACCCCGGGAGGATCACAGCAGCAGAGTGAGGTCGGCATGTCTCCAGGAAAAGGACCAAAGTCTACTACCCAACAGGTGAGAGACAAGCCTCATTTCATGTCAGCCAGTCCAATCTCAGCATCCTAATCAGTCCCGGGGTTCCTGTTACACCAGATTCCTTTCAGTTGTTTTCATTAAAGCAGTGAGAAATCAATTGAGAATGCAATTACAGAAGGAGAGGGAAAAAATCAAGAGTCCCCTGCTCCCAGCAAATTTCTGGGTGAACACTTCTATGCTGATTTCTGGGTGAGCACAGAAGCAGTCCCAGTAGAACTCTGGGCAGACAGTCATAAATCCCAGCCATAGGAAGGGCAACACCAATACAATCGGAATAGAGTTCTGGAAGACCATTCTACATGAGAGAAGGCTCCTAGGCAGTCCTGGCACAGTTAGGAAGGAATTTGGAGTGGACACCAAACAATTATAGAATAAAGTTGATGACTCTCAGGGTGGGGAGAATTCAGGCCGAGGACAAGGATCAGCAGGCCGTGGGCGAAAGACAGAGGGCACCCACCGGTGACCTTCACGGGCATGCGCTATCCATCATCCCAGGGTCAGAAGGAGCAGAATCTAACTTCTGTGCACCTCCAGCAGGTGTGAGAGTGGAGGCAGGGGAGAAGGGCTTCTGGTAAACCGTGCCGGAAAGCTGGGCAGAAGAAGGGAGACTGTTCTACCCGCTTACTCCCACAGAAGACTTGATCCTTGCAAACCAGGGGGGCAGGCAGCATAAGGGGGCTTTCCCAGGCTGTGCAAGTGGGGAGTCAGGCTGGAAAGGAGGCTAGAATGGGGCAGGGGTCCCATTCTCAGACACACTCCTGCCTGCTTGCGAAGACCCCAGCCTCAGGGAACTCACATCCCCACAGTCCCAAACTTTAGATAAATAGAGGTGGGTTTCCCTAGGGCCAAGGATGGAATGGGGTCTTCTCAAGGGGAACTTTCTCAGTATTAAGGGGCCAAGTCGACTCATTGGCCCAGCTAACCCATGTCCCTAAAGAGCTCCGTCTGACTTTGCCACCTCCCCCTGACAGACCCACCGAGTAACTGGGCAAATTTCCATCACTTTCCTTTTTTCTGCTCACTTATGAGGGAAGAGGTTGAACTAGACGATGTCCAGAGGTCCCTCCACCATTTAGGAATCATTCCCAGCACTCAGAAGCAGTGTTGATACATGCTCATTCTCACCATTTATTGCTCACTATAAAAAATAACACTTGCTTATGGTAGAAATGTTAGGAAAGTGCAAAATATAAAAAAGAAAAGAAAAATCTTGTGTGGCCCCATTACCCAGAGGAAATCATTATTAACCTTTTGGAAATTTTTTTCCAAAGTTATTTAGGTTTGGGATTTTTGTTTGTTTGTTTGTGTTTGTTTTTCATATCATTTCTTTTTAACAAAATTATGATCATTGTCTATATAGCTTTATATCATTTTTTTTTCAGCTGTCATCATGCTGTGAGCATTTCCCAAGTCCTCAAATACTGAAAGATACAATTTTAAAGAGGATCTCTCGTGATTTCTGGGCACTGAGATTGTTTTCCTAGCGCTAGAAAGCACTGCCATGAACATGCAAGCCGAGCACATAAGTATTTACCTACATCTCTGTTTCCTTGGGACCAATTCCTCCAGGTGGAATTATAAAGCCAGGAAGTATAATTTATAAGGATCTTGACATGTACCACCATATTAATTTCCAGGAAAACACAACAAACCCATTGATTTTCCTGAGCTGAGTGAGAGCCAAAGTTCTAAGAGTTGGAGTCAGAACGCAGGACGGTGGTCCTGTCTCGCCTCCTCTCCCCCAGTCTTGAAGATTCACTGTCCAGTGAAAGAGAGGACAGCATGCCGAGTCAGAAGACAGAGGTTGCAGCCTAACTCTGCTTCTCACTGACTCTGGGAACCTAAACAAGCACTGGTTGTCCTCAACCAAAATGGGTGTGATGGGCAATGCTGATGACCGAAAGCACACTCCTTTCTCACATGAAAAGGTGTTTGTGAAAACTCTTTGTAAATTTCAATGTTTTGTCAAAGGGTTTTGCTATTATCCATCTTAATACCAGGGTCTAAAGAAGCACCTTGTTCTTTGTGAAAGCCCAGGCTGCGCTCCCTAGCTCTTAGCCATTCAAATGCCCAGGACAGTGCTGGCTGGTTCTGAGGTTGATGAAAAAGCAGCAGCTTCTGGAACAGAATCACTGGAGTCTGAGGGTCTAAGAAGACCCAGCTGTTTCTCCCAAAAGAAGCTGCAGGGTCAGAACAAGGCCTCACCAAGGGTGCTGGGTCAGGGAACTTATCAAAGACCTGGCAAAGGTCCCTCTGTTTCAAGGCTGCCTGCCCTCCTTTCTAGGATCAGATGGACATCTGACCAAGTGGACATCTGACCTTTGCCGGAACTAGAAACCTTCCTAATTCAGTAGATGCAAAGAGTCAACAATTTCAGCGGCCCTCAGGGGCCCCAGTCCTTCGTCCTTCGTCCAGCTGCTGTAAGTCAGTATTGGATTTGTAAGACTCTGCAACTGCAAAAGCAACTAGTGCTTCCAGTGGGACCTCTCCAGCCCTGGGCGGATGAAAAGGGAGACGTGGTACCTCCTCCGAGAAGCACAGCTGACTGGCCTGAGCATCGGGTCACACTTCCCCTCGCCGCCAGCAAAGGCCCGTCCTCACCCCTGCGTGCTCACCTCGCTCCATGGCCTGTGGGGACTCTAGTGACGTTCCGGGGCCGGCAGGAAGAACTGCGCAGACCCCACAGAAGGCCATCCTCGCGGGTTTTCACCATCTCTACCGGCAGCTCCCGCCCCCGGCCCACCTCCAAGGCCAGATGTGCAAGTCGTGTCTCCAAATACGCACAACAGGTGGCCCTGCCGGTCTCCCCAGTCTCATCTCGCCTCTCTCCCGGGCCCTCCACCTGCACCCCGGCCCGGCCGAGTCTTACCTTTGAGGTTTGGGGGGTGGCCCCGCGGCGCCCGGCTCGGGTTTCCTCGGGGTAGAGAGGGGATGCTGGAGAAGTTGTTACCCATGGCATCCGGCCCCGGGGGCTTGGGCGCCGGCGGGGGCTGGCGAGGCCGGGCGGAGGAGGAGGCACGGCGTGCGAGTGTGTGCCCGCGCGGGAGCGCGCCGCCGGGGGAGGGCCCTGGGGGAGCGGCCGCGGGGGGCGGGCGGGCCGCTCCTCTCCTCCGGGTCTCGGGGCGGCGCGGTCCTTGGCCGGTCCAGCCCGCCAGGGGGTCCTCGCGCGAGCCGCTACCTGCCTCCCATTCCCCGCGGCGGGGCCGGGGGCCGCGGGCGGGCCCCGGAGTCCGGGCCCGCGGCGCCCGGGGCTCCCCTGCTGCTCGGGCCGGCGCTAGGGTGCGGGCCGGGGGTGGGCGGCGCGGTGGCTCCGGCGCGCGCCCCCCGGGCCATGGGGCCAGGACTCCCGGCGCGGGCGCTGCGCGGCTGGGCCTGCCCGGCGGCTCCGCGGCTCGGCCTCAGGCTCGGTCCCCGCCCGCGGGGACGGCCGCGCGGCGACGTGCGTGGCGCCCTCCCGCCGGCGGGGTGGCACGCGGGGCCCGGAGCGCGGGCCGGACGGGGCGCTCGCGCCGCGCTCGGTGTCCCCCGACTCCCGCCCCTCCCGCCCCCGCCCCGGCCCCGGCCCCGGCGTCTCCGGGAGCCCCCGGCTTCGGTTGTCATGGAGACAGCTGCGCCCGTGAATGAGCGTCTTAGTGACACGCGCGCGCCCAGATGTGGCCCGGCGCGCGGGGCAGCTCGGCGGCCCCAGGTTCTCCGCCCAGGGCTGGAGGGCGACCCAGGCGGGGAGAGAGAGCTGGGAGAGGGTGGGACCCCAGAGGTCGGGTTTATGCCGCTCACGGGCTCTGGAACTTGGTCTTCAAACCAAGAGAAGCAGAAGAGCGAGAAAGTTGAGCGCATTGGGGGCCGGGAGCAGAACGCGGTAACTTAATTCACGATTTCCATCCCCCAGTTAAATGTCCGACACGAGAAAGGGGGAAATGAGGGAATGGAAGACTGAGTAAATGAAATGAGATTAGGATCCCCAGTGCTTGACCTTTCGCACTCGGTCAGATCTGAAGGGGTGCTGGGCAGGAACCCAGGCTGTCCAGTCACTGGACACGCCCTACAGAGCAGTGGGGGGCAGCAGGGAGGGGCGGGGGAGTCTTTGGGTGAATACAGATTCCACCCAAAAGACAGGCTGGCTGGCCCAGCTGGGGGAATAGATCTTCCAAGCAAGTCATCCAAGTCAGAACTGAGTGGTTCTGTCAGCCCAGAGGACCTTTGCCCTCTCTAGCAAGGAAGGCTTCCTGGAGGAGGGGGCTTCAGCAAGTCCCCTGTTCACATGTCTCTTCCATCATGTAGCTCAACACAGCTTCCAGGAAGCCTGCAGGAAGGAAAAGAGACCCATTCTCCTCCCCTCTAGACCTGGGCACATCCTCCTCTTGACCATCAGGAGTACCTGGACCAAGCTGCCTCCTCCTTTCCAGAGAAAATCTGCCCTCCTGCCCCTCTTGTCACCTCTCACTCCCTGACAGGCTTCAGCAGCTCTGACCCAGAGCCCAGCAAGAACGTGGGCTGGCAACAGGCATGTCCTCCCTGCCCTCATGGAAGGTTCTTCCCTTAAGGCACCATATGATGGCTCCTCATTATTCAGGCACAGTTCATGTGTCACCTCCAGACCTCCTATGTCGTCCACCCCAACAAAAGAGCCCCCACCCCACTAGTCACTTTCCATGCCATTATTCCATTTTATTTGCTGGAATTAGTTTGAAAGTGAGGTTTCCCTTGTTTGTGTTCTGCCTTCCCCACTAGAATGTAAACTCTGTGAGGGGAGAGAGCAGATCAGCTCCACCCATTATGATGTCTCTGGTCCAAGGAGAGCTCCTGCCACATGACAGACTACCAACGACTGCTTGAAGAATGGATGAATCCTTCTGCTGACAGCAGAAGTCCACTAGGATTCCTGGGAGTAAAGCCTCAGTGTGGCCCTTTATTTCCTTTCCCTGCCACCACCCCACCCCATTCCAGGCATCATATCCTTAAATGTCTGGGACTCCAGGCAAGCTAGAAATATCTGTGACAGCTGCTCCCTGGGGTCTGGAGGCAAAGACAGCCCCCACCGCCAGCTCCATCCTTTTAGATGCCCAGGATCACATGCCTGGTCAGCTGCAGAATGGACATGGAAGGTCAGGGGTGCTGACTTATTTGTGGGCATATCTTCCTGAGGCTCACACCGAACTGATGACTCATGCATCAGAAATCCATGGACTCTGAATGGCCGTGCACACACGTTTGCACCTACACCTCTACGCTATCTCACATACTCCCTGCCACGCGAGTGCACACACTTACACACATACTCACATACCCCTAAAATCTGCTGGTATGGGGTCACTGGTGCTGCTGCTGGGATCAGAATGCACCTGCAAACTCTGTAGGGACAAGACTCATTTCTCAGGAGTGTGGCCCTTGGTAAGATCTGCAAATTGTAGCCCTTCCTTCCCAGGGTAAGGGAACCTGAGTATAGACGGCGGCAGATCAGGGCAAGGCAAGCTAGGTGTCCCTGGCATGAAATGCAAGGAGACACTCACTCTTAACCCTGCATGTGCTCAAGGCTAAGAGTGAGCACCCCTGGAACTTTGCACCCTAGGCTACCTCCGTAGCCTTGCTCCAGCCCTCTGGGGAGCTCTGTATGCAGGAGAGAACCCCACTGTCAAGAACTCCAGCGTCCTTCTCCCCCCTGGGTGCTTGGCAGAATCTCCAAGGCCATTAAGCATTCCTTCACCAAGGCTACCGCCAGGAGGCGGAGAAGTGGCCTATGTAGTCCTGAGGGCCCTTCCCAGCCCCATTCTCGAAGAAGGAAGGAAACCTGCCAAGGAGACTGGAGCTGGATGAAGTCACCGTTTTGGTGACTTCAGTGGAAGCTATTAATACCCCTAAGGTGGTGCTTCAGCACCTATCACCGTGGCAACCCTGCCTCCCCAGCAGTGAAGGTTCTGAAGGCAGTGCCCAAAGAGGTGGGTGGCAGTGCACACGTGCGTGCATGTGTGTCCTCATGTGTGCCTGTGTGGGTGAGCTGAGAGCTCAAACCACCGTGGCAGGGAAAGAGGGGACGCCTGGCAGGGACCCAGCTCCTTACCCCTCCCCCTCCCTCATTTTTCTCCCTCCTCTTCACTCTGCCCCTCTTCTCTCCCTCATTTAGTCTTTCTCCCCACTTCTTTGTCCTTCTCTGCTTCTATCCACCCTCCACACTTTCCTGGTTAGGGCTCTGCTCTTTTTTTTTTTTTAAGGATTTGTTTATTTATGCATACAAGAGCTGGGGTACAGGCCAGAGGTGTGGGGGTGAGAGAATTCATCAGAGACAGAGTGGGGTACAGAACAGGCAGATCTGCTGAAACACACTGCTGAGGGGAGCAGCGGGCCAGGCAGGAGAGGTCTGCTGCGCCACCCAATAGCTTCTTAGTGCTGAGACTTAATACCTTGAGCCACCAGAGAGGCCCCCTGGTGTGTCTCTGCTTGTCTCTGCTTTTTATTCCTTGTCCCGACTCTTCCTGCTTGTCCATCTCTCTCTTCCCCTTCTTTCTCGTTCTGCACACCTCCCAGATCAGTTCTTGAAGAGTCTTCCATGTTGATAACACACCACTCAGATAGGGTGTATTAATAATGGGGGAGACTGTACGTAGGGGGAGGGAAGAAATCTTCGTACCTTCCATCAGTTTTACTGTGAACCTAAAATTACTCTAAAACAGAGTCTGTTATTTTTTTAAAGGATCACCTTGTCCTTTTGGGGTGCACACACACTCTAGACTAATGATTCTCAAACTTAGCATGCATCAGAATCAGGGGAGACATATCGCTAAAATGCAGATTCCCAGGCCCTGCCCCAAGAGAGCCTGGTGCTGTAAAATATGATGCAAGTCATTAATTGATCACCCTTTGGGAAACTGCCCCGTATGGACACATGTATCACTGGAGAGAATGATGGTTAAAGAATATCTACAGGCTTTCCCAGGGGGCGCTGGACACCTCCCAGGCCCCAGCATGGGCTGCCACCAAAACAGGGCTAGTCACATTGGAAGGTAGAGCAGGAGGCAGTTATGCGGGGAGGGGTCCCCACCCCCTTCCTCTGTTCTACAGACCGATTGCCCTCTGGGAGGTGACCCCTGGGTCCAGGAACAATTGTGAGATCTTCATAGATTCCCAGATTCATCTTTGGAGCCCAACTTTATCAGTTCAAGGATATTAAAATATGTCACATCCCCCATTAAACATAATGTTCCTGCCTTAAGCATTTAGAAAGGAGCTTTATAAATGTGGCTTTTGGAATCATTTGACTATGAGGAACTCATTAAAACTACAATGGATTTTATTTCTAAGCAATCATGCATGGGTTGGATTTCATACCCAATTGGAAAAATCTACAATTGTTTTTGAATGTAATGAAGTCTTTATGTGTCTACACTTAAGATTAATGAAGTTGACACAACGTTAAGTATTGCATGCACTCAAATAAATATTTCTTAAGTTTGATTTTGAAGTTTTCCATTCATAATTTGGAGCCAGTAAGGGTTTGTTTGCCCTAGTACTAAGCAGACCCTTAGAAAGTCTATAGGCCTAACATCTGGGTTCAGAGTGCCCATGGACAAAATCCAGGCCTGAGGCCAAGCAGGCCCAAGCTTGCCTCTGAGAGAACAGGTGGAGGTCTCCTCAAGGAGCAGAAAGGAAAATGCCCAAAACCCAAAAAAGGAGAGTGTATAGCACCATCTAGAAGACTTTGAGGGAGTCCTGTATTCCTAACCCATCTCAGGACCACTCGGTCAGACGATAATGACAGGTGATGTTTACCAGCCCGTAGCCATATGTCCCAGGTCCTGGTTTAAGCACTTCATCTGTACAAGTTCATTTAAGCCTGGTAACATCCTTGTGAGGTAGGTGACCAGCAGCAGCAGCAGTACCCCCATTTTACAAATGAAAACCCCAAGACATAAAAAAGCTAAGATACCTGCCTGGAGCAGATAAGCAAGCACTGAGGTACCAGCCCTCCCGCGTCTGCTCTAATCCCTGCAATACTGTGTCTCCCCTTCAAGGGCTGGGCAGAGGAAGATGCTGGGCTTCCCAGCCAGCCCCTCCTGCCTGCGAGTCTCCCGGGAGCTTTGGCTCCACTCTCTGGAAGTTAGCCGGGGAGCACATGGGCGCTAATGAGAATGGACTCCATTTAAAATAGCAAAACTGAACTGAAAAAAAAAATGCTCAAGGTAAGACCTTCAAGTCCCTTTTCTCCCATAGATGTTTCAAATGACATTTACTTGGTAGGAAAATCTTCCCAAGAAGTTTACAAAGGCCAGAGATGCACAAAGGAAAAGCATGATAAATGCGGCTACATAAAAGTGTGAAACTCATGGCAAAAGCTGAAAGAGAAACAAGAGTCGGAGGCATGGCTTCAAAAACCCACGGCCTTCAATAACCCACGGCCTTCAATAACCCATGACCTTCAATGCCTTCAAATAATCTCCCCACACCTGGAGAGGAAGCAGACATGGCCCCACTGCTGCTGGCCGTGTAATTTCTGGCTTCTATCCACCTCTCCCAAGAGAAGTCCCAGAGGTTTTCACTTGTTTCGACCTTCACCTAAAGGCGCCTCAGGGGGTCCTCTCCTCCCAGGAGGGCAGCTAGTGGAAAGTTTCCTCTGTGAGCATGAGCTTCCCTAGGTCCCACCAACTCTCCCTCCATCTCAAGTGCGCTCTCAAGTCGCCACTGGGCGGCGCTAGAACTCCACCAGCGTCCCCTATTGGCAAACTTGGCGCTGCCCTGATGCACATCAAGCACTTTAAAAAATGTTTACAGGTTGCTTTTCCTCTTTCAATACAGGAGCTTTCTTCTGGGGCGGGGGTTACGTGGTGATGGTGGTGGATGAATTCAGGATGAATATATTCTTACAGGATGAATAAATTCAGGATGAATAAATATATTCTTACAGCTCCCCTTAGTGACTTTGAGTTAAAGGGAATTTATGTCCGTGAGGAAATTAGCCCTACTCTTTAGTCACTAAGATGTCTACCCTCTGCACCAACAAATGCTGCAACAGTTGAAACTCTTCCCAAAGGGGGCCTCCCTGGTGATGCAAGGGATTAAGACGCAACCTATGAAGCTGTCTGCAGGATTAAGCTGTCTGACTTAATCCTCATGGCACAGCAGACCTCTCCTGTCTCACCTGCTGCTCCCCTCAAAAGTGCATTTCAGTCAATCTGCCTCTTCTGTTCCCCACTCTGTTTCTGATGAATCCTCTCACCCCTGGCACCTATGGACTACACCCCAATTTTTGTATACATAAATAAATAAATCTTTAAAAATAAAAAAATAAACTCTCCCCAAAGGTCTTCTCTTCCAGAAAGGCAGAGTAAGGCACCCTCCTGACTCCTAGCATGAAATTCAGGATGAAACCTCCCTGCACTCTGCAGAGTCCAGTCGTGTTTTTTACCAAAATCAGAAAATATAAGAATATTGTAAAAAGAAAATATAATTTGGTTACATCAGCATCTTTGCTTTACAGTAGCCAGAATTTGCCTGCTCCTGCAGGAAGCCCCACCAGTTGTCAGGTCTCTGGCCAAACCCAGGAGAAAGAAGGAGGGTGGAGGGACAGGGCAGGGTGCATTTGCCTAGAGGTGCTCTGGGGTGGCTGGTCACAGAGCAGTGACTCACTCCCCGGAGAGGAGGGACACTGGACTACAGTGGGTTGGCCGAGCAGGGGAACCTGCCTCTGCCTTAAGTCCTCGACTGGATCAGGGCAGGCTGGGCTGGGACTGCACTCTGCCTCCTCAACCCTTCAAGCCCTTGAAAGAGAAGAAGGAGCTCCCTTGGACTCCAGGGTCACCCCTCCCTGTGTGGCCAGGCATTGCCCAGCAGAGCAGCTAAAGCCTCACTGAACCCCCACCCCCATCTGTCCAACCCATCCAGCCTGGGGCCATGGATAAATTCCGAATGTTCTTCCAGCACTTCCAGTCCAGCTCGGAGTCGGTGATGAATGGCATCTGCCTGCTGCTGTCTGCGGTCACAATCAAGCTGTATTCCTCCTTCGACTTCAACTGCCCCTGCCTGGCACGCTACAATGCCCTCTACGGCCTGGGCCTGCTGCTCACGCCCCCGCTGGCCCTTTTCCTCTGTGGCCTCCTGGCCAACCGCCAGTCTGTGGTGATGGTGGAGGAGTGGCGCCGGCCCCCAGGACACCGGAGGAAGGACCCAGGCATCGTCAGGTATGGTCCCGCACTGCCCAGGTGCCCATGGGCACTGTCAGAGGCTTCCCAAACCCCACTCCTCATGAGCACTGTCACCCACCCAGGATCCACCAGGTGCACCCCCAAACTCCACCTGCCCCCCGTGGGGACTGTCCTACCTTCCTGCAGGCTTCCTCCGGCAGCTACATTCAGGCTGCTCTTTGTAACCCCCACCCCTTCCTGTGCCCCCAGGTATATGTGCTCTTCCGTGCTGCAAAGAGCGCTGGCCGCCCCCATCGTCTGGATCCTGCTGGCTCTCCTTGATGGGAAGTGCTTTGTGTGTGCCTTCAGCAGCTCTGTGGACCCCGAGAAATTTCTGGACTTTGCCAACATGACCCCCAGCCAGGTGCAGCTCTTCCTGGCCAAGGTGCCCTGCAAAGAGGATGAGCTGGTCAGGGACAGCCCTGCTCGAAAAGCAGTGTCTCGCTATCTACGCTGCCTGTCGCAGGTGACTCGGGCAGCCCTCTCCCAACCTTCAAAAATATCCTGCATTTGTCCCCAAGGGTGGAGGGTGAAGAGGTGCAAATGACCTCATGGGGTCCCTCCCCACTGCTGGAGACCCGACCAAGGAGCAGGTTGTTCTGGGGAGATCAATGGCCCCCGTACAGGACAGTATTGGGTCTTAGGAAATGGGCGCTTTGCCATTGATACTCACTCACCCCAGGACAGAGACCAGGGCCCATACTGTCTTGGAATCATGCCCAGGAGGCTGGCTGGCATCCTTCTTCCTGCCCCTCACAAACAATAACAATCCCCACTAAGGGAACACCGACATGTGAGGTGCACACAAGGCCCATCACGTGCATTACTTTGTTTCAGTCTCAGAACAGCCTCACAGGTGGATGAGGTCACCACCACCCCATTTGCAGACAAGGAGATGAGTCTCTGTGGGCTTAGTTCACAAGGTCCAAGTCACACAGCCTGTAAGAGGCAGGGCCAGGATCTGAATACATGTGCCATTACTCCAGCCCCCCTAACCACCTCCCTGCACAGCAGGTCCTCCCTGTGCGCCAGGTGCCTGGCTTCCCACCAGGCACCAACTCCATTATCTTGGGGGCAAACCCAGCCCCACTCCCAGCTCAAACTCCAGATTCTACTGCCACTACTTCCTCAGCCTTTGCTGTGCTCCCCAAAGTACTGACATGGACCCATATACGTAGAGCATCGCCAGCGCTGTAGGATAAAACTGGTGGAACAAGTGCAGACAAGTCATATGGGGAAGGCAGGGCCAGCTTCCTGGGCACACTGGACTCCCATGACATGACACTGGCCACCCACTTACCCTCTAGAAGGATGCCAGCCTGTTTCTCCTACAAAATAAAGGAAGGGTTGGTCTCCTTCACCCTGAGCTCCCACATGTTCGGTGGAAAGACTGAGGGAATTGCAGTGAGACCAGAGTCCAAGTCCTGACTCAGATGTGAGTCCTCAGTCATATTAAATGTTCCTCGAATGGACAGAGGGATGAAGGGCTGCGAGGATGTCTGAATAGGAAAACGATGGATGGATAGTCCCGAGAGAGGACCGAAGGGTGGAGAGATAGCTGGTGCAAGGATGAGATATCTCTCATGGAAGGGAGGAGGGTGGAGGTGGTTGGTAACAAAAGGTGGCTAGTTTGGAAACCCCTTGCCATGCAGCACTACACATGTGCCCAGCCCATGGCCCATCTTGTGCTCCCCAGGCCATCGGCTGGAGCATCACCCTATTGCTGATCATCCTGGCCTTCCTGGCCCGCTGCCTGAGGCCCTGCTTCGACCAGACAGTCTTCCTGCAGCGCAGATACTGGAGCAACTATGTGGACCTGGAGCAGAAGCTCTTCGATGAGACGTGCTGTGAGCATGCACGGGACTTCGCTCACCGCTGCGTGCTGCACTTCTTTGCTAGCATGCAGAGCGAGATGCGGGTGCGGGGCCTGCAGCGGGAATCAGGGGGCAGAGGGCCCGAGCCCCCCGAGATGCCTGAGCCCCCAGAGGGCCCGGATGGCAGAATTGGCAAGGCCCACCTGCGTGTGGTGTCCAGCCGGGAGCAGGTAGACCACCTCCTGAGCACCTGGTACTCCAGCAAACCACCTCTCAAACTTGTGGCCTCCTCTGGACTCTGGGGAGGTGGCCTCAACCACCGTGCCCCCACAGTGGTCCCAGGCACCAGGCTGCCACAGCACACCGATGTATAGGGGCCCTGGCAGTGTCTCTGTTGCCGGGGCTGACAAGAATCTGGGGATTTTCCAGGCTGTGGGGATCCCAAAGTAGGGCAGCCGGACTCTTGTTAGTCTCCTTCCTCAAAACAGCCCTATCTCTTGGGCCTCCCTGGTGGCGCAAGGGGTCAAGCACCGCACTATGAAGCTGTCCTCAGCCACTGCAGCACGAGTGGATCCCTGGCCGACCAGGGAGCTGCCCACATGGCGCAGCAGACCTCTCCTGTCTCGCCAGCTGCTCCCCTCAGCAGTGTATTTCAGTCAGTCTGCCTGTTCTGTTCCCCATTCTATATCTGATGTATCCTCTCACCCCTTCCCCAATCCTCTGGCCTGTACCCCATATGGCCTGTTCTTGTATGCATAAATAAATATTTTTTTTTAAATCCTATCTCTGGTCTAGTTTTGGGGTGTCATATTGTAGGGTAAGGTAAAAAGTACCAGGCTTTTCTGCCCTCCCGCCATCAGGATAGATGAGGGAACCCTGCGGTCCTGAATGCATGCCTGATGGCGGACACCTGGAGTAGGGTGTGGGCATAGGTAGATGGGATTCACCTGGGCTAAGACTGCGTTTATAAGGGCGGCGTCACGGGGATGCCAGCAGCAGCCAAGAATGAGCAGAAGCTGAGAGAAGAAGAGAAGCAGAGAGAACGCCAGAGAGAGCCCAGATAGAGTGAGGATTTGCTGGGGGCTGGAAGGCCTGCCAGCCTCTGGGCCCCCCAGCACCCCTGCCTGCTGTGTGCCTGGTAAATCTAAATAGAAGGCCTGCAAAAGCCACTGAGGACTCTGACTCCTCCTTTACCCGGTCTGCTGGATCATAGAAAACCTGCTCTGTGGTCTTCCTGGGCCCTGTGTAGCCCAAAGCAGTGCTTTGCTTCACAAACTTGAGCAACCTCACCTGGGGCTCTTGTTCACAGCAGATTCTGAGGGCGCCTGGGACTCTGTCTGAGACTGCATTTCCAACAAGCACTTGATGTCCAGACTCGAAATAAACAACACATGCTTACCTGGTGCTTACTGTGTACCTGACATTGTTCCAGATCTTTACATAGATTAACTCATTTAATCCATATGATAATCTAGTGAAGTAGGATGGTTAGGGTGGTTTTTAAAGTACATTTTATTGAAGTAACATTGCCTTGTAACACTAGATAAGTTTTGGATGTGCATTTTTATAAATCTTTTGTATGTACTACTGAAGTAGGTTGTTATTAGTCCTATTTTTTAAGAAAAGAAAACAGCATAAAGAGGTTAAGATGTCGGAGGTCGTCTTGTATGAGCTGGAACTTGACCTCAGGAGGCCTGGCTCTGGAGTCTGCCCTCTGCAGTCTGCTGCCAGGTGCCCTCTACGAGGCTGTGTTTGTGGTTTTGTTTTCGGTGCTTGGTCAGATTTCCTGCAGCTCCCCCCACAGTTGTCTGAGTAAGCTCTAGCCAGTCTGCTTGTTAAGTTCCTCTTGCTGCTACTGCAGATGAATACTTTTTTTATTTCCTGTTGAGGGGATTGTTTTGGGCTTTGAATGTGAATGATTTTTTAAATTTTTTTTAAAATCACATTGCATGGTAATGCCATACAAGTTTCAGGTGTGCATCTTTCAGCTGTGCACCTTCTCAAGTCCTGCTAAGTTGTTTCTAGTCCTCCAAAGCGGAGCAGCCCTGCCTGGTGCAGCTCCAGTAATGCAGCTCCTTTCTCGGCCCACCTTTCGCTAACCTCCAGCCAGCAGCCCTGCCTCCCTCAACTCCCCACTCACAACCTTTCCCACCACCTGCCTCTGACCCCTGAATTCTTTCTAAAGTCTCTTTCTAAAGCTGCCTCGTTCCCTTGACATCCTCAGGGGTATCTACCTGCTACCCTTAGCAAGAGTTTAGCTGGTGAGAATTTCTCCAGGTGTATGGTGTATGGACCAGATCTGCAAATCAGGGTGAGGGGGGACCCAGACACCACCACTCACATTGATGTCTACGAACCTCTGAGCCAAGGATGCATGTGGAGTCTGGATCAGGAACCAAAATCCTTGAAACACCAGGGTTAAATCTTGCTGGAAAAACTACCATTCAGTCTGCAACTCAAACTAGAAGGGCTGGGGAAGATTCAGCCCCTGAGGGACTCAGGACCATTGCCTCCCTGATGACTCACACCCACACCTTACCACATGCCCATCCTGTTATTGCCTCCATCAGCACAGATAGGCGGCCATGGTGCACACAGGTTCACCCCATGTCCTTTTTTTTTTTTTGCGGGGAAAAAAACCCTCGCTGGCGGCCGGGGATCGAACCGGCACTGCAGAGGCTGCGGGCAGCCTCGCAGCCCAGCGCTCAACCGCTGCACCACCAGGGGAGGCCCCACCGCATTTTCTTTTGGTCCTCGAAGCTGGGAGCAGCGAGCAGGCCCTGGATGCTGCCTGGAACCCAGCGCCCCCCCTCCCCATATCAGGCAATCTCTGCCCTCCTGGGCTCTTGTCAGATCAGATAATTCCTGCAGCTCGGCTTCCCCCACCCCCATCTGACCTGCTGTGGTCAGGACATGCAAATGTCTGAGATGGCACTGGGTGGAGCAAGATTTAGGTAAAGTGTTGGCAGGTCTTGGGGGTGGGGGAGGAAGGAGGGAGACCTTGATGATGGTCCGATCACCACAGATGGGCTCCCAGCCAGCGGACAGGAGGCTCAGGGATCCCACAGTGGGCTGTAAGGGAGCAGCCTCTCACATGAAGATCAGGGAAAAGCAGCCTTGGGATCAGCAAAGCATGTGGAAAAAGCCTTGAGACATGAGGGGTTTCTCCTGTTTGAGGAGCCACGAGCAGGCAGGAAAACTGGAGCTGACTTGGGGAGGAAGAGGCCCCAGCCCAGCTCTTCCTCGTCCTCACAGGTTCTGCTAACGAATTTGCACTTCAGCGCTTGGAGGGAATGAAGTCTGCAGTGATTTAATCAGACATCTGCTTTCAGAAGCTTGCTCTGGCTGCAGCCTAGGTGTGGGTGACAGGGGTCAGAAGACAGGCCAGCACCAGTGGGGCCCCGGCTTTAGGGGAAGATGGAGAGAAGCAGGTCAGAGGCATTTAGGAGACAGAAGGAACTCTGGATGCTCTGGTTTGTCAGTATCCTGTTTGCAGTGTGGGCGCAGAGCAGAGAGCCGTGTCAGTCAGCTTGCCCAGAACTCAACCCCGACCTAACCGAAAAAGAGAATTGTAAGGAAGCGCATGGAATATTTGGTGAGCACAGTTTTTTGCCGTAATACATAAACCCCAATAGAGTATGGCTGATGCAGAAAAGACCAGCACAATATCTTTCTTAGGTAAAGATCTCAGACCTCTGATAACACAGCCTGACAGTACTTGAGCTGCCTCGGCAGCCCCACCTGGCTGAGGGCTGCTGCCTCCCCCACCACCCGGTCCTCTGAGTGCTCCCCTGAGCACTGCAAGCTGCTGCTCTCCTATGCAAATTGGGCATTTTCCTAAAGGTCCAGCACCTGCTCCCCACCGGCCCCTTTTGCATGCTGCTTTTCATGACCCTTCAAGCTGGAGGGGACTCCCCAGCACTGCAGTGGGTGCCAGGACAATAATCCCAAGGGAGGCAAAGGGGCCAGTCCACAGGCCAAAGTGGGACCTGTGGGTGAGTTTGTCGCCAGTGCATGGAAGGGTGGTGACAGCTGCTTTCCATCTAGGCACATCACGCTCATGCTCCAGGAGTCACCGGCAGGTGGAGTCAACCGGGCACTGCTGAACGTGCTGCCTAAAACCCTGAGGTCTTCCTCCTAATCTCTGCATCCTGCAGGGATGTTCCCTGCAGAAGTGACTTTGCAGATGTGATTGTGTAAGGGCTCTTGAGGGCGGGAGACTCTCCTGGATGATCCGGTGGGCCCCAGATAATCACAAGTGTCCTTATAAAAGAGAGGAGAGGAAGGATGGAAGCTAAGGTGAGAGGGAAGGTGGCCCCGAGCCAGAGACTGGAGTGACCCTTAGAAGCTAGAAAAGGCCAGGAAATGGCTTCTCGCCTAGAGTCTGCTGAAGGAACACAGCCTGCAATCTCTGATTTTTGACCCGTTGAGACCCATGTCACACTCCTGGCCCCAAAAACCATGAGAATTAGTTTATGTTGTTTTAAGTCACTATGTTCATGGTCATTTTTTTTTCCAGCAGCAATAGGAAACTAATACGAATTTTCAACATGTTCAACTACTAAAGCTCAGGTGCAGAGATGATAATTATTATTATGACAGGTTATAATGTTCATCTGCCTAGAGCTATCTCCAGGCCTGGCACTGAGCTATTCTCTTTATCTGCTTCATCTCGTTGCAACCTCAAGGTAACCTGAGATGGAAGAGCTTCTCTGTCTCTGAGTCTCAGAGGCAAAGACTACACTCACAGGGAAATCACTTGCCCACCGCCCCTGACTAGTATTTGGAGGGGTTGAGACTTAAATCCAAGTCATTGGTGAAGTTACTCTTATCCTCTCCAGGACATGGTTTCTTGCTGATAAAAAAAAATCTTGACTGTTCAGTGAAAGAAACAATGAGCAAATGGGCAGGGCTTAGAAGTGGATTTGGATGGGCAGAGGGCAGATGTTTTCCAGAGGGGACAGCACAAGTGAAGGCCGATGACACAGGCCACAAGTCCCCCCGTGCAGCCTGTGTCCCTTCTGTGGTCACTGAGAGAGGTCTGACTTCAGAAGGTGCTCAAGAGGCCATCCCAGCGGCTCCCACACCAGGCACCCGGCACCTCCCTGCTTCCATTGCAGAAGTTCCTAACCTTCTGGAGTCATGGATAATATGGACACATGGCACTGGGGCAAACAGAAGGGAGGTATCTCTTCCATATAAAACCTGGTGGGAAAAATTACATCCTTTTTATCTTACATGTTTATGATAAGGAAGATGGAATACAAAGTATTAGGAAAGGTATTAAATGCTAAATTTGTATGAGACATCCAGATGAAGCCTTCCAGATACCTTAAAATAGGAAACTTGAGTTTGCTTTGGTGAACATAACTATTTAACATCAGATTTTTTGCATGAAATGACAGCAAGTCCTATTCAAGTCTCTCTCTTTTTTTTTTTTTAATTGTGATACAGTTGACATATAACATTAGTTTCAGGTGCACAACATAAGATTCGAGATATATAGATATAGATAGATACAGCAAAACAATTACCACTGTAAATCTAGTTAACACCCGTCACCTCACATAGAATTTTTTTCCCCTGTAATTAGAAATTTTGAGATCTACTCTCTTAGCAACTCTCAAATATACAATATATTATCAAGTAGAGTCATCATGCTGTACATTACATTCCCAAGACGGATTTATCTAATAACTGGAAGTTTGTACCTTTTGACACTCTTTAGCTATTTCATCCATCTTCACCCCTCAAGGTTATTTATTAATAAATTCTTCAAATGTTTAATTAATCCATCCACAAAAAACTTGGTGCAAGTGGGTAATAAATTCAAAACTATTTTTACAGTCATTCCCAAATTCACAACATCTGGAATGGTATGTAAAGATTCTCACATTTGCTTTTTATGTTCAGTAACAGTAACCAAAATTCTTGTGATCATGAGAATATCGGGTTTAGAATCCAATCAAACTGTTTATATCCAGTATTTTAAAATACCGTTGAATAGAATCTGCAGTGAGAGTGTGCGTGGTTAGAGCAGGCACCTGCAGCCAGCCTGGGTGCCTAAAGGGCACCCCAGCCACACACAGAGAACCATGTCCACTCGAGAAGGCAGAGGTTCCAGTAGCCTCTGGACTCGTCCTCAAGTCATCTGGTTGGAGCTGGATCTGCCCTGCTCCTCTGGGAGAACAAGCAAGCATCAAAGTGTACCCTTAGTTTTCCCCTCTTTGATATGCCTGCCACTGGGGGGCCCTGGCTTGTTTCCCAAAGACACTTTGGAGACCTGCCAGGTAGGAAAGGGACCTGGCAAGCACTCAGATCCAAGTCCTCTGACTCCAAGTTCAAGGCCTTTTACTCTATACCATGTCACATTAGCACCCTCTGCACACTCACACTGCCATCCCCACTGGGACCCATAGTATCAGCACTGTCCCCCCCAGCACCCTCAGCACCCTCCCCATCACCACCAGCACCATCAGTTCCTTCACCTCTGTTGGCACCTTCCCCAACACCAGCATTATCACTCCCAGTACAACCACCACCGTCACTGCCATGGTTCCATCAAGTTACCATTCCTCTCTGGACTCATAAGGAGCCTTCTGGACCCATTACAGCGTGGAAGAAAGACCCAGTGGGAAGGCAGAAGAGGATGACATGTTTCCCAAGAGCGCCAGGGATAAGGTCCAGAAGCTCAGGCCTCTGCAATGAGCCCGGATTCTTCCAATCAGTCCTGCTGGTGACAGTATCTTCCTGGGCAGGCCTGAGCCCCTGACCCTCTCCTGGCCTCTCCTTCCTCTCCCTCCCTCCCACACCCACGGAGAGCAGGTTCCCATCAGCTGCCCTGTGGTTTCCCAGTGCTGGAGGCTGCTGCAGAGAGGAAAAAAGCCCAGGAGGGCAAGAAGGGGTGGGGCAGAGGCCTGGCACACCTACGGGATTGGCCAGTTGCACCCTCTCAGACAGCACCTGACTGAAGACTCCCCAGAGAGACAGTGACCTCGGCCACTGCCCTGAGCTCTGTCTCAGTCATGACGTTGGCACCTGGTGGGCAGGATGCAAGGCAGGGGCCACTCTGGAGGCCGTGGTGAGGTGGGTGGAGGCCTCCGGGTGCACAGAGGGGCACGATGGACAAGTTCCGGATGATCTTCCAGTTCCTGCAGTCCAACCAGGAGTCCTTCATGAATGGCATATGCGGCATCATGGCCCTGGCCAGCGCCCAGGTCTACGCGGCCTTCGATTTCAACTGCCCCTGCCTGCCGGGCTACAACGCAGCCTACAGCGCCGGCATCCTGCTGGCCCCGCCCCTGGTCCTCTTTCTGCTGGGCCTGGTCATGAACAACAACGTGTCCATGCTGGCTGAAGAGTGGAAGCGGCCGCCGGGCCGCCGTGCCAAGGACCCGGCCGTGCTGCGCTACATGTTCTGCTCCATGGCCCAGCGCGCCCTCATCGCACCTGTCGTGTGGGTAGCCGTCACGCTGCTCGATGGCAAGTGCTTCCTGTGTGCCTTCTGCACCGCTGTGCCGGTGACCATGCTAGGAAACAGCAGCCTGGTGCCTGGCCTGCCCCCACCCGAGCTCGCCCGCTTGCTGGCCCGGGTGCCCTGCCCTGAGATCTACAATGGCGAGTGGCTGCTGGCCCGAGAGGTGGCCGTGCGCTACCTGCGCTGCATCTCCCAGGTGAGGGTACAGCGGCCTTGGCCCCAGCCTGCCTGCACAGACTGGGGGCCCATCAGAAGGGCCTGACTCCCCCACCTCTCATAAAGGGGGGGTAGTCATAGTTTCCCAGTAGAGTGGGGTTCCCCACATTAGGCTGAGGCTCCCCCCTCAGACAGCACCAAGGGGCAGTGACATGGTTTCTTGACTGAGGCAGGGCTTCTGAGGGCAGGGCCAGAACGGGGCCACCTGGAGAAAGTGCTATGGCTCTCTCTGTCCTTAAACCTGTCATCTGTCCCGACGTCCCTCCCCAGAGCTGACCCAAGGGCTCAGCCACATCCGAGCCTGAAACCCGGGGGGAATTTGCATCCTTTTCCCCTTCCAGGCCTGGACAGTGAAGAGGCCAGTGGGTGGCTGGGCCATTTGGGTACATTTCCCTGGCAAATGCCCCCAGCTGGTGCCTCTGTGCTAGAGGATCAGGAGCTGGAGGTCTGGGTACCCCTGGAAGGCTGCACTGGGACAAGGGAGATGTGTGGGGTGGGGATGTGCCCGAGAGACGGGGCTGGTGGACCCAGATGAAAACGTCAAAAGTGGGGTCCTTCCCTCTCCATATCCTCTGTCCTTCTGGGCCTCACTTGTCTGAGCCCCTCAAGCCTCCCCTCCAGTCCCTGAAGCATGGGGAGGAGGAGCTGGGCAACATGCCCTTGCAGGATTGGGAGTGGAGGCAGGGGGCAGAGGCTGCCCTGCAAGAGCAGAGAAACATGTGCACACTGCCCTGGCAAGTCCAGGCACCCAGGCACCCACTCCCCCGTGGGCCTGCATCACCACCCAGATATCCTTGTGAAGCTCTATCTGAGCACCCAATCAGAACTCTTCTCTCCTCCTTGGCCAATCCGGCCCCCTCCCGTGGGCTTGCCCCTCAGAGCCTGGGGCAACTGCTCCTCCACCTGACCTCTACACCATTCCCTCAGAGCTAAAGGGGCCCCCAGAGCACAGGCTGCCTTGCCTATAGACATGGCTCATTTAGCCTTCAGAGGATGAATGCTAAATTCAGTAAGAATTAGTAGGCATCATCTAAAACCATTTGTTGGTTTGTTTTCGCAAACAAATCAGATTTCCAGCTTTGCTTTGAAACACCTAGAGAGCCACGGTTGCTCACTGAGCAGTGTAGGGGTCCCCTTCCCCAGACCAAACTCATGGTCTGTAGCTCCCCACCCTGTGCCTGCTCTGCCATTACCCACCCGACTCCCGCTACAGGCATTTGGATTTGCTCCTTGTCCCCCACCCTGATACTGTTAAACTGTTCTCAGTGCAGCTGGGGGCTGGAGCCTGAAGCACAAGTGGGGCGGGGGGCATCCTGCCCCTTGGCCCCCAATGAGTTAATAGCAAAGCAGAGCTAGAAACCACACGTCCAGTGCTCTTCAGCACAGAGTTTGAGCGATGGCCTGATTTGTCTCTGTGACCCCAGTAGGCCCAGCTCATGGCCACACAGAGGAAGTGTTCAGTTAGTGCCAAAAGGCAAGCAATACCAGGAGCCAAAGGACAGAACTCAGAGAAGGGTCACCATGGCTTAGGGAGGTCAAGGAAAGCTTCCTGGAGGAAGCCTTCTCAGTGAAGCATGTCAGCGAGGGTCTCTTGGCAAAATAATAGTGGTTAATCATTACTGAGAGCTAACTATGTACCAGGCACTGTGCTAAGTGTATTATCACTTTTCATTCTCACAACAATCCTACGAGATAGGCACTAATACCAGCCCCATTTTGCAGGGAGAAATGAAGGTACAGAGAAGTCAGGTGCTTTGCTCCTGGTCAACTGGTAAGCAGTGGAACCAGGATCCAAACATAGGCAGTCCACCTCCATGGTAGTTAACGCCTGTGTGTGAACATTGGGCCCACCCCAAGTCACACGGGATGTGTATGAACATTCCCATTTACAGGTGAGGAAATGGAGAGCAAGAGGTGAAGGCACCTGCCCAGTCAGGTGCCTTTCCCCTCAAGGCCCTGATATAATAAGTGCTCAGGGTCTGAACAGGTGTGTAGGCCAGAGGGCAGTGCCCACTGACTCTATCTACTTCCCGCTGCAGGCACTAGGCTGGACCTTCGTGCTGCTGACCACACTGCTGGCATTTGTGGTGCGTTCTGTGCGGCCCTGCTTCACGCAGGCCGCCTTCCTCAAGAGCAAGTACTGGTCCCACTACATCAACATTGAGCGCAAGCTGTTCGATGAGACATGCACGGAGCACGCCAAGGCTTTCGCCAAGGTCTGTATCCAGCAGTTCTTCGAGGCCATGAACCATGACCTGGAGCTAGGTCACACCCACGGGGCACTGACCACAGCCCCCGCTGGCTCAGCCGCCCCGGCTCCTGGCGACGGTGCAGAGGAGGAGAAGGAGAAGCTGCGTGGCATCACCGATCAAGGGACCATGAACAGGCTGCTCACCAGCTGGCACAAATGCAAGCCGCCCCTGCGGCTGGGCCAGGAGGAACCGCTGGTGGGCAATGGCTGGGCCGGGGGCGGCTCCCGGCCTCCACGCAAGGAGGTGGCCACCTACTTCAGCAAAGTGTGAGCTATGGCCAGGTGAAGAGGCAGGGATGGGGGTCGGAGCCACAGCCCCTCGGGCCAGAGGTTTTGGGTAGTGGTTTCCTGGAGCAGAACCCATGCCCAGGCATTCACCTGCCCATTGGAGAGAGGAAATTTGGAACCGGAAGGGGACCTCACCTCTCTGGCTGTGGCCACACCTTAGGAGGCCTGGGGCATGGGCACTGAGCAGCATCAGTCAGAAAGGGTCAGAACTTCACCTGCCCAGCCCTTCCCAGGCCACTTCATCCCTGGCTCAGTGTCTCCTCTCAGTTTCTATGAACACCCTTGCCCCAGTGTCCAGTCTTATCTGTGGCTTTTAAGGACCTCTGTTCCCTAAGCTCAAGGCTTAGGGAGGGTTGGGGGGGTATCCAGTCATTTCCCTAAGCACGATCCTCTGATTCTGGCCAGTGGGCCTAGGGCCATAAGGATGTGGCGCACAGCATTACCTGATGTGACAGGTGATGAGACCAGATGCCAGGAGACCCTTTCCACTCAGGCGAAGCCAGCATGTGGGGTCACCATGGAGGTCACTCAACAATTGTAGAGGTGGACTGGACATTTAGCACCAAGCACAAAAGGCCTCCTGTCTTAGTCCCTTTGAGTGCTTTAACAGAACCACAGGCTGGGGAATTTATAAATAACAGAAATGTATTTCTCACAGCTCTGGCGACTGAAAATCCATCCCGGCGCCACAGAGAGATTGTTGTGGAGGCCACCTTCCTTGTTTACAGCAGTGCCTCTCACTAGGTCCTCACCTGGGGAAAGGCCAGGGATATGGGTAGAGGCACTCATCCCATTCAGGAGGGCTCTGCCCCATGACTTAGGCACCGCCCAACGGCCCTACCTCTTAATGCCACCTCTAGAGCTTAATATTCAACGTATATGTTTGGGGAGACGCATTCAGGCCATATGGGTTCCTTGAGAACCACTCTGACAGTCACCTCATATCTGGGTCTCCTGGAGAGACAGAAGCTGAAGTCTTCCCATTCTCATAGACACAGTCCTGCAGCAGGGGGCCCCGAAGGAGCTGAGAGGCTCTGCATTGAGAAGGGGGCCTGGAGGAGCAGGAGTGGTCTGGACTGGAAACAGCTCAGAACAAGTCAAGTGCTGGATCTGCCTCTTACCAACTCTGTCCATTGGGCCAGCTGCTTCATTTTCTGTGCCTCAGTTTCCTCATCTGTACAATGGGGAGGAGGCACCTACCTCAGAGCTTGTGTTAAATGAGTGAGGTGTGCAAGGGCATGGCACACGGCGGGCACTCAGTATGAGGTGGCTCACCTGTCTGCTGATTACTGACCTTGAGGGCTTAACACTCTCCTCCCCCTGAGCTCAGGGGACAGGAGGTAAGAGACTGGGGCTACCTTTGTCAAGGGGGAAACGCTAAACATATGGAACCAGAGATGCAAGTTCCTATCATCTAAGAATTTATTTTGGCCTTGACCTGCACAGCATTGTTTAATGTTTTCCCTCTAGTCCCACTCTGGACCCCCAGCCCCTCCTTTAATAATTTGGGAAGAGGGGGATCTGTGCAGGCCACTGTGGGCCAGAGGGCTCCTCTAGGAGATAGTACTTGATCTAGGCCCTGAATGAGGGAAGGATTCAGATGCAACGTAGGGGACTCCCAGCGGCAAAAGGAATTGGGAGGTGCAAAGGAGGAGAGAGAGTAAAATCTCTGGGTAACACAGACCCGGGTTCGCATATCAGAGTCAAAGAAGCCCTCTGAACCTTGGTGTGTTTATCTGTGAAATGGATATTAAAATAAAAGACCTGCTTTTCAGAGTTATAGTGACGATAAGGGAGACAATTTCTGAGTAAGAATTTGGAATGGTTTTTGGCACATGGTAGCAGCTGAAAAATAAACCCTGGTCCCTTTTGCCTTCATTTCCTCACACGGATAAGCCCAGCTCAGTGAGGCCAGCTTGTCACTCAGTTCCACTGTTCTAGAACCACAGCGTTGCAGAGTCAACCGGGTCCTGGGGGTCTCAGCCTTGATCCTAGTGGTTATCTAGCCTGTGCTTGGACAGGATGTTGCTCTTCAGCATTCCTGAACTTGACCTGGCAGCCTCAGCTTGCACACTCTCACAGATGGGGAGCCCATGACCTCTCAATGGGCTGCCTTTAGAAATCTGCCTCCTTGTCATTTCTGCTCCACAGTCAGAGTTCTGCCCACTGGGCTTTGAAAAACCCCTAGTCAACAGAATTCCCTGTAAGCCCTCCTGAGATTTAAAGCAGTACTTGGGGACAGTGTGGGCAAAAGAGCCAGCAGGGGGAGGTTGTATAGTCAGCTGCAGAATGGGTCTGAGGGAGACAGGCCAGAACAGGATAGGGGTGCCCTCACCAGCATCCTGCTGCGGTTTAGCAGCAGTCTGATGGCATCTCTCCCCAACTCTGCAGGAGGAGGGTAGGAGTGGACATTCGTCCAGCTGCTTCTGCTCGATAGGGATTAAGCTTGCTCTTTTTTTTCCCCCTCTTGTTTAAATGTCTATATAACGTTGGGGCTTGGGGTTACAATTTTTTATGTTTTTTTTTAAAGATTTATTTATTTATGCATACAAGAACTGGGGTACAAGCCGGAGGTGTGGGGGGTGAGAGATCCACCAGAGACAGAGTGGGGAGCAGAACAGGCAGATCAACTGAAATGCACTGCAGAAGGGAGCAGCGGGCGAGTCAGGAGAGGTCTGCTCCGCCATGTGGGTATCTCTCTGGCCGGGGATCCAACTCGTGCTACAGTGGCTGCGGATAGCTTCGTAGGTTGTGTCTTAACCCCTTGCACCACTAGGGAGGCCCTGGGGTTAGTTTTACTACTCCACATGGGCACATTTCACTCACCTTCCAGTAAACCTCGCAAACCAATGCCCTATCACCGTCCTCTCTCCATCCTCTCTCTCTCCTCCCCTTCCCTCTGGTAGGTAACCAGTGTATTTTTTTTTTTTCATTTTTCTCCAACTCTGAGGTTTGTTTTGCTGTGTTTGGCCAGTATATGTTCTCTGGTTATTTATATTCCACAGATAAGTGAAACCATTTGCTATCTGTCCTTCACTTTCTGATTTACATCATTTAACATAATCACCTTAAGGTCCATCAATGTTGACCCCAAAGGCATCATTTCATCTTTTTGAATAGCTGAGTTGTGTTGCATGAGTATACATTGAGCAATTTCTTCATCCAGTCCCCCGTCCAGGGGCACTTAGATTGGTTCCTTAATTTGGCCATGTGGACAGGCTGCCGTGAACACAAGTTCATGTCAGACTTTCCATATCCTTCAGGAGGGTGTTCTAAGAAATTGGCCTGGAGGGCAAGCCCAGGCCAGATCTCCTGGAAGGCCCCCTGCCTGCCACTGAACTGGTCCCTCTGGTGTAGAGCAGGATAGGGCCTGTCTTGGGGCAGCCTGCACCGAGGCCAGCCGAGCAGCTGCAGACAGCAGCCTCCGCTTCTCTTCCTCTCTCCGCCCTCTCCCGCCCCCTGCCTGGCGCCCCAAGCTGTTTTCCACTTGCTGGTGCGCACACTCCATCCTGTTGTCCCCTCCTCTTTTCTGGGGTTAAACTTTTCTGAAGCCGCCATCAGCCAGAGGCTCCACTGGTCTCAAGTGCCCTGCTCCGGAGAAGAAAATCAGGAGGGTAACTCGGAGAGCACAGCCCTCCGGGCCTCCACACACCAAGCAGGCCGCCCTGCCTGGCTGCAGGCCAAGAGGCCGAACACCCCTCGGAGAACCAAGCCCTCCAGCAGACTGGTACTGCAGCTGGCTCAGGTAGGGAAGGGCCCCTCCCTAGGGTGTGCCAGGCCTTGGGAAAGCAGGACCCTTCTGTGGCTGCCTGGAGGGATTGCCCTGGAGAGGGGCCCTGGCTAAGGACCCTCCATTCTGGGCCAGGCCACTCCAGCCTCCCTCCCCAAGCCGGCAGTCTCGGGTTCTATAGTTATTGGGGAAACCTGGATGTGACTCCTCCCTGGCTTGAGGGGGCAGAGGCAGCAGTCTCAAAGGATGGCCTGGACCCTCCTCTGTGCTCCACCCACAGTGTTCAGGCCTCTTGCACCCTATTTTGGGCCATTTAGGAACCCAGGGCCCCCACAGGAGCTCTTAGGAGTCTTGAAGTCAAGAAGGAAAGGGAAGAGGAAGAGGGAGGGGCTGCTTTAACCCGTTCATCCCCGGCAGTAGTTACTACAATCTCCTTTCCCAAGAGTTAGAGGCAAACCCCTGGAGTGGGAGTCGAGGGTAGAGCCAGCTCCCTCCTTCTCCTCTACCACCTCCTCTGGTCTCCATGACTACCCAGCCCTGCCCAGTCCTCCTGTCAGCCTTGGCAGAGATGGGGGTGGAGGTGTACAGAGGAGGCACAGAAGGAAAGACGCTGCTGCCCACCCCCATCCTCCTCCCTGGTTTCTGCTGGCCTGTGGACTTTTGTTTTTCAAACCCAAAATGGAAAGGGAGGTGGTGGGGCCACACCCTGGTCTATCTCCCCAGTTTGTGTGGGTGGAGCCTAGAAAGGGAGTTGGGGCAGAACCTCACGCTAGCCTGAGGCCATGGCCACTTCCTAGTTGCCTGCCAGGCCAGTGCAGCCCAGACCCAGGCAGGGCAGGGCAGGTTCATAAGGGGCTGATGGGCATGACTGAGCCTTGGCCTTCATCAAGGCTTCCTGTTGCTGGTACGCGGAAGGGTCTCTGGGCCCAGGGACATGGGTGGATAGGGCTGCTGGGAGGCTGCTGAATGGGGAAGTGGTAATGGGTGGGAAGGGGGAGGATGGCCAGGGCACTCATGGATGGGCACAGAGGAGACCAAGAAAATTTAAGACTCATTTAGCTGGACCCACCCATGTCCTCTTCCCAAGCGTCCTTAGGAAAGCTGTTCAATATTTGAGCGACCTCCAGCAAGGTACTTTATACTCTTTAGAGCTTAGTGTCCTGATCTTTGCAAATTGCTCCCCCCACCCCCATCTTTGAGAGCCACTGTGAAGACTCAGCAGGGTGAGAGAAATGGCAGACTCTAGCTCAGGACAATTTCCATGCGTTTATTCCTTTCTTTTCCCTCCAGCAACTTTAAGAGGAGAGCATGGACCACAATAATCTTTGCTCTTTTCACAGGTGACACTGAGGTCCAGAGAAAAGTCAAAGTATCTTGAGAGGCAGGATCTCCTAAGCCAGTCTGGAGTCCGAGGTCGCCAGAATGAAAAGGCTCATAGGGACCCTAGGGACGCTATGCCAGGCTCAGCCCCTACTCCAGGGCCCTCCACCCACCCTGGGCCACAGCGTCAAATCCAAGTCCCTTATCCACCAGGACACTCCCTCCTGCTTTTACACCCACTGATTAGAGGCCTTGAGAATACTTTTGGACACCGCCCCAAAGCCTCAGAATATTAGCACTTCTGGAATCCCAAAGGGAAAGCCAGTCAACATCCTACGCCCCCCAATTCCACTGGTCCATTCCTAACTCTCCCCCAAGAGAAGCTGGTATGCACACAAACCTGTGTTTGGGGGAGGTAGACCTGAGCTTGAATCTCAGCCCTGCCACTTACATGTGACCCTGGCAAGTCACTCGCCCCAAGGAGCCTCCACCTTCTCTGTGGACACTGGGGGTTGACAGTGCAGTGTGGAATCGTGAGAATGGGCAAGGATGGATGTAAATGTGCTTACACAGTAAGCTCATGAACTCTGGCTACCATCACTACCCCCTGGCCCTGGCTTCACCAGCCTCCTTCCTCTCAAGAGCCACACAAGCAACCCTACAACCCCCATCCCTGTTTTTATTGGCAGACATTATCGGTCATCTGCTATTCTCCGGGGAACATCAGGCTGGCCACTGCAGGGGATGAAATGGCAAGACCGTGCCCAGCCATCAGGTACCCACCATCCTGCGCTCCTTCCTAGCCCTACCAGCAAGCACCCATCTGGTCTCCTGCTGCCCCGCACTACGGAGGGTCCCCAGCCCAACCTATCGTCATGGCAGCCCTGATTGCAGAGAACTTCCGCTTCCTATCGCTCTTCTTCAAAAGCAAGGATGTGATGATTTTCAATGGGCTGGTGGCACTGGGTACAGTAGGCAGCCAGGAGCTGTTCTCCGTGGTGGCCTTCCACTGCCCTTGCTCACCAGCCCGGAACTACCTGTACGGGCTGACAGCCATCGGCGTGCCTGCGTTGGTGCTCTTCCTCATCAGCATCATCCTCAACAACCATACCTGGAACCTAGTTGCCGAGTGCCAGTACCGGAGGATCAAGAACTGCTCAGCTGCCCCCAACTTCCTCCTTCTAAGCTCCATCCTGGGCCGGGCGGCTGTGGCCCCTGTCACCTGGTCTGTCATCTCCCTGCTGCGCGGCGAGGCCTATGTCTGTGCTCTCAGCGAGTTTGTGGACCCCTCCTCGCTCATAGGGGGGGAAGTGGACTTCCCGCAAGCTCATGCCACCGAAATCCTGGCCCGGTTCCCTTGCGGGGAGGGCCCTGCCAACCTGTCAGCCTTCCGGGAGGAGGTCAGTCGCAGGCTCAAGTATGAGTCCCAGGTAAGGTGTGCAAAGGGAAGCTCCTTCTTCCCTAGGTGGTAGCAGCAGGAGCTGCCAGGTTGGCCCAGTGCTAAAGCTGGAGTCTTCAGGAAGGAAGGTTCCAAGAAGGGCCTAAACTATCAGTGTCAGCATCAGAGCTGCATAACCCATGGGTTAGTGCTTGGTGGGGCGAGGATCAATTCTGGTTCCAAGTAACATGAAAGGTACATTCTGCCTCTGACTGAGCCTTGATACCAGATTCCCTCATTCCAGCCAGACTGAGCACAAACCCCTGCAAGACTTTGCAACATTTGTTGTCGGCCTTGAGGCCTTGAGTTGATAGTGGAGCGTGGTTCACTCCAGGGTACAGGGAGGGCCCTGGCTCTGAGTCAGCCTCAAGCATGAGCTAGGAGGGGCTTTTGAGTGAGGATTCACTAGCTGCTGCCCTGATGCCTGCCCAGGCTTAGCTTAGTTCTGAAGGAAGGGAGGTGGGTTGGGAGAGAGGCTGAGGGAAGGGACCTGGGCAGAGGCAGAAAAACCCAAGTCAAAGTGTCCACTTAAGAGAAGTAGGGGGTGAAGAAGAGATGGCACCACTTTTTCAAAAGATCTCAAGTACCTAAGGAACACGAATAGACAGAGAGGGAGAGCTGGAAGCAGCACAGGACAGGAAGGCAGATGGAGGAATAAAATTTATTTTATCAAACTCACAGATCTTTGTACAGGACCAAATGGTGACACAAAGGTGACCTTGATTGTCCTTGCCCTCAATAAGCTTATACCCAAATGAGCACCTGAGACCAGCACATGGTGATTTTGAAGCAAGAAAGAGGAAGATGTAAGCAGAAGCAGGCCATGGGGCACTCAGGGAGAGCAAGAATGCTCTTGGAGGGCATTTGAAGTCCTCCTGAAGGTGGCATCTAGGTTGAGCCTGGCAGGTTGAGGTGAATTTTAACGGGCTGAGATGGGGGAGAGGGAGTTGGGGCAGAAGGAATGGCAGCAGAAACTGCAAGAGCCAACATCTTAAAACAGAGAAAGTATTGCGTTTCAGGGAGAGAGGACAGAGGTGGACTCATAGCCAGAGGGTGTTCTTCCCTTACAGAAACAAAATCTGGCCAGAGAAGTGACAGAACCAGAAGTGACAGCTCACGGGGGCTGGGGGGAGGGGGTTCTGAGGCCAAGTTCAACTAACCAGCTCCTTCTACTTCCTCATGGGTTGGGGTGGGTGCCCAGTCACTACCCCCACCCCCTGCAGCTCCCTGTCCCTCTTAAACCCTACCCCGTCTCTGGCCAGCTCTTTGGGTGGCTGCTCATCGGAGTGGTGTCCATCCTGGTGTTCCTGACCAAGTGCCTCAAGCATTACTGCTCACCACTCAGCTACCGCCAGGAAGCCTACTGGGCCCAGTACCGCGCCAACGAGGACCAGCTCTTCCAGCGCACGACCGAGGTGCACTCCCGGGTGCTTGCTGCCAACAACGTGCAGCGCTTCTTCGGCTTCGTGGCGCTCAACAAGGATGATGAGGAGTTGGTGGCCAAGTTCCCAGTGCAGGGCACGCAGCCTCGGCCACAGTGGAACGCCATCACCGGCGTCTACTTGTACCGCGAGAACCAGGGCCTCCCACTCTACAGCCGCCTGCACAAGTGGGCCCAGGGCCTGGCGGGCAATGGCACGACTCCTGACAACATAGAGATGGGCCTGCTACCCTCATAAGGGCCCTGTTCCCACTCTGCTAACGATGGCACTTGGTCCCAAACTAAGCCCTGACTCTGCTGTGGATGACCTTTCACTGGTGGGACTCCTGGGCCGGGAAGCACTAGTTAGCAGAGCTGGGTGACAAAGAAACTCACCAGTGGGCTCTTTGGCAGGACACTGTGCAGTTAATTCGTGTCCAACAGCAGATGGACGTCCAGCTCAGTGGAGCTTGGCTGGGAAGCAGCCCACCAGTGTGCACCTCAGGCTTCATTTTATGGATTAAAATTTTTGGTAAAGCTTTTCCTACGAGAAAGGACTACCTTGGTGTCTATATTACTGCATCGGCCTTGCCATAGCAAGCTGAAATTCTATCCCAGGGGGCGGGGGTGGGGAGGGGAGGGGACAGAGAAGCTCAGAGGTCACTGCAGGGAGGGTAGGGGTGCAGGGAGAGCCAGGTAACAGATGGAGACTGGTCTTTCTCAAAGGGAAGCTCAGCTTCCATTTCACAAGACAGAAGACCCTGCACTCAGTAAGGCAGCCTAACTCCTATAACCTAATGCTACAGTCCAAGAACTAGACTGCCCCAGCTTCCCCTCCTTCCCAGCCCATCCTTAGCTAAAGGCCTCTACCACCTCGAAAGCCTTTTAATGGTCTCCTCTGTCCCCATCTGTCTGCAGGGACGGACTCAGTTATTTCCCATAGAAAAGCTTTCCAGTCCTCAGAATATTTAAAGCTCTGCCAGAGAAAATTTTTAATTCCCTCAAAATGAAGCCAGAGAGGAATGGTTTCATCAACTAGTTGGGTGTGAGCTGGCCTCAAAGAACTCTGATAAGATATTACTTATCAAAGGAGGCAGTGAGACTGTCCTGGGTACTTTACAATGGCTGCTGGAATGTATGATGACCTGACTAGTCCCCTCTCCATCAGGGCTCAAGGAACCAATGCCCAGACCCAGCAACCTCTGCCCAGAGGAGATTAAGGGGAGAGAACTGTGGGTTCTCCCCAGTGTCACCCAGCATGTGGTCAAGATCCTCACAGAGCCTCCCACCTGCTAGGCGGTGGCGGCAAACAACATACAGGTTCTTGTTTAATTCACAAAACCACCTTTCAAGGCAGGACTTTTTAACCGCATTTTACAAGGGAGAGGCTGGGTAATCTGGTCATGGAGGGTCTAGGAGGAGACAGACCCAGGAGTTTAATCCCCTGGGGCTTTTCTCAGGCATCCAGATCCCCCAATTTTCCCTTCTGGACTCAGCCTTTGTCCCCCTAACCCCACCTCACAGCTTCCCCAAAACGTACAAGTACTCGCTGAGACAGGCTCTGCCTGGAACAAGAGCCTGTCAGAGCCAAAGTGGGATCCCAACACAAGATGGCCTGTCAGGAGTCAGCCCCTCCGTTCCTGTTCCCTAGGGAACTACCATAAAGGAAGACTCGGCTTCTTTGGGAGCCCATGGGCTGCTACCTGCAACGACTGTACAGCCTCAGAAAAGGAAATGGACGAACTGAATGGATACTTAAATGAAACAAGCAAAAAGGAATTGTAAGAAATAGCAAACTCATTTTTATACATAGGATTCCCCCCAAGGGTACTGCAGAAAAAGCAGCACTTAAATAGAGTCCTCAGGCAACAGCTCTTCTACAGCCTAGGTGCCTAAGGTCGGGCCGTCTGGAGCCGGCCTGCCTCTAGTCCTCCAACACGGAGCTCTTAGCCTCCACGTACTCCAGGGCCTTTGCCTTTACTGCCTGCACGTCCTTCTCTGTGCCATGCTGTTTCTCGTAGTCCAGGTAACGCTTGAAGAAGAATTTCATTCTCTTGGGGGCCAGGCTCAGGTGGATGACCCGCTCGAAGATGTCCCTGTGAGGAAGAGTAGGGAGCATTTGCCTCTGTCCTTGGCACACAATTACTAACTAATCTGGCAGCCATTTGCTCTCAGGCTGTGGAGCCAGGGCCCCTATTATCAGCACGCCCACATCCATCTTTGTTTTTATTAGCATTATAAACTCCCAGCAAGTCTCCAGGGAGAGAAACCACCACCCTCACTTTCTAGATAAGCAGACAGGCTCGCAGAGATGTGAAAGGACTTACTTGCCTGAAGTCACACAGTGAATCAGGACAACATTACTGGGATGGGGCCTCACAGGGAGGGATGGGTGTGTGAGAAAAGCTCTGCTTAACTCACTGAAGGGCTTGGGCGAGGCATTAGTGCTCTGTGGACATCAGTCTACCCATCTCTCATCCTCCCTGCCTTGTGGGGACAATAGTGAGATTATGCCCGTGAATGTTCTCTCTGAGTGCCAGGTATGGCGTTAATTATGAGGGAAGCCCAAGGAGGCGCTGGCCCGCCTCTCACCCAAAGTTCCTGACATAACCCAGAGGCTAGCTCTGGGGGTGCTAAGAGCTGCTGTGTTGCAAAAACACAACAGCTTGGCCAGTGTTCCCAAGCCCCACAAGGAATTCAGCCCTGCCTGTATTCCCCTCTCACCGAACTTCCTTCTGGCTGCCGTGCTTGATGACCATGTCAATGTAGACGGACCAGACGTCTGTACGCTTTGGGTAAGTGTTGAGTGTGTTCTCAAAAATGGCTTTGGCCCGCTCTGCATCGCCCAGCTGGAACTCCAGCTGGGCAAACTTGGTAATCACATCCACATCTGCAGAGAGAGGACAGCTCAGACACACAGCGGGCAGACTGACCCTCACCACTCCTTGTTCTTGGGTCCTGAGACCCAAGACAAGAAGGACAGTGAAGTGGACCTGGGAACAAATACACAGATGCGCACTCATCTGAGACTTCCAGTACAGAGATCCCCCTCTCTGGGCCCAGGGCGGCCCGGATAACGGGGGAGAGGAGGGAGACGCAAGGGCAACAGAATTAGGGCTGATTGCTTTTTGTTCCTCCATCTTAGAGTGATAGCCATGTGCCTCTAGGAGGCTTCCCTAATGCCACCTTTGATGAGAAGACCCCAACCTCTATGCCCAAGGATCACAGAGCCTAGTGTGTCAGGCTTGGGGCGGGCAGGGGAAGGGGCGCTCACGCTCTTTAGTTGGCAAGCACTCGAGGGCGCGCTGCATCACACGGTGACTGGCTCCAGCCTGGCCCCTCCGCAGAAGGAAGGCCCCATATTTGATCCAGACAGCTTTCTCCTGCCGGAAACGCTTCAGCATTCGGTTGTAGAGTTCACCAGCTTCCTGTGAGAAAGAGAAGTGAGATATGACAAAGGGGGCCAGGACAGAGACCGCAGCTACTCATGAGAAACTAGACGCAGGCTGAGGGACTCCATCGCTGTGCAGTTCCAACTCGAGACCTGGCAGGAGAGGGCCGGCTCATAGAGATGAGAGTGTGTGAGGAGCCCTAACGTGATGAGGCGTCGCCCCACTGATCCTGTGCACACAGCATGTACTAAGACTAGAAGGATGAGAATGACAAGGGGAACAGGTGAGACAGAGAAGGGGGTTCTGGGTTGGATGTCACCTCTGTCTTTAACACCCATCAGCAGCCCAAGGGATACACACCGATGTCCCTTCACTTCCCCCATCTTCACCCCATTCCTAAAGCAGAGGTGGGGAAACGAATTCTGACTTGGAAGATGAGCAGATAGGGAGCAAATCTGGAGCAGGACCGGACCCAGGGCACGGGGATTTTTCCCCAAGACATTCTTGTGGCCTGACTCCCAGGGGCTAGTTTCTAAGTGGTTCAGGACCTTCGATCAACAGGCCACTGGCCCAGACTCCCACCTGAAATTTCTCTGACTTGGTGTAGATGTCAGCCAGATGGAGAAAGACCTTGAGAGGCTCATTATACTGCACGGCACGCTCGAAGATCTTGGCCAGTGACTCCTGAGAGCCATACATGTTCTCCAGGTTCAGCAGTGCCACCCACACGTTCAGTTTCTCCTGCTCTTCTCTGGGGGCAGGGTGGGGGAAAGAACAGCCGGGACGTGAGCTCAGCCCTACAAGCTGCCCACTTCCATCTGGAGATGGGGACTAGAACTGCTTCCCCTGCCCAAGCTCCATCCATGCCCTCAGTTACCACCAAGAGCAGGCACTGAATGATAAGCCCCACTCTACCGTAGCTCACAAGGAACCCTACCGCTGGATCCCCTGACTGCCCAATGGAGCTCCCCTGATTTCTGCCTCCATTCCTGGAAGAAGTCTACCAAATTGCAAACTAGCCTGAACTCCAAGCTAGAAGGAGCACAGTCTCTAGGTCTGATTCTCTCCCCAAAATAGAGGAGGAAGCAAAGGCTCTCCAACCCTTTCACTAGGCTTCTGAAAACACTACTGCCTGGAAAGTGGCCACTCACTGGATCTTCATTAAGGTCTGTGGAGTTGTTGTCCCCATTCTACTGCTCCACACTGGGCACTTTACACCACTGACACTCTTGGAAACGTTACCCTTAGCCGTCTCAAGGACAAGCACCATGAAATATAAATGAGCATACTCTATCTCACAGATGAACAAGGCTACGAGAGAAAGCCTAGGAAGCCATGGGCCCCTGGTGGCAGCCACCCAAATGCTTAGTCTAAAGGAAACTATCCACAGGTAGCAAGCCCCTCAACTTGGGGAGGCATGGTCTCCTGTGTGGAAAGGCCTCCCCCACAAAGCAGGAGAGACAGAGCCGAGACCTGAAGGAGATGGTCTTGAGAGCCCTCTCAGCCACGGCCCGGGCCTTCTCGATCTCTGTGGCCTGTAGATGGAAGGCCATGTACTGCAGCCAAAGGATGGAGCTGTTGGGGGAGCTCAGCACGAGTCTGTCGAAATCATCCGCTGACTCTGGCTGTCGCCCCGGATCCATCAGCGCCTCCTCCATGCGGGACAGCTCTTTCTCTGCCTTCTGCTTCTCCAGTTCCCTTTCCTTCTTGCTTTTCTTCTGTTGTAAAAAGTAGAAAAATAAGTGAGTAACCTGGTTCCCTGAACCCTGGAGAGGCCTGGGGGGTGGGAGGGGGGGAGTGAGTTGGCAGGGCAGTTCACGAGCTCTGTAAATACTCTTTGGCCAGAGAAGGCCCCCAACCCCGCTGCCTAGAACACCCAGGCCACCACAGAGCACAGGACACTGACACCAAGGGGTCCCTGCACTCAAGGTCAAAGCTCTGCTAAATACATCACCATGGCTTGCTGTGGCTTCTCCTCGTCCTCGCTGTCTGAGCTCTCTCCCCGAGGTGGCAAGGCCGGGGTCAGAGAGTCTAGCGCCACGTCCCAAACAAAGCCAGAAGACAGCTGCAGACGGGGCACTTCCGCTGGCCTGCTCTGCTTCTCCTGTGAGGAAAACACTGGGTCAGGCTGCTCCCCGGTCCTCAGCCCCAACCTGCCCGGAAGAGCAGGGACTCCCACCATGCTCAGAGAACTTTCCTCCCCTCTTGGGACCAAGCTAGGCCCCAGAAACTTTATAAAAACTTTGTTTGCATAGAAACTCTCTTTGCAAATAAATTAACTTAGGTAAAAGTCTTAAAAAGATACATGCACACACATATATGCTTGCATATACACATCTGTAGATGCATATGTACAAATACATGTACAAAGTGACATAATGCATAAAATAACAGTAAAACTTGAGCCGAGATGAGACAATGTTCTGAGGGTAAGAGGGCTGTGGCACTTCACCTGAGAGGCCCCTCTATACCCAGTCCTCAGTTCAAGGAGCATTGTCCTCATTTGCAGAGGGGGACAAGGGCTTAGAAAAAGCTAAACCTCTTTATCTGCCCGGCTGACTAGTTTGATTTGGCTCCACTTAATAAACATGGATTGGAATTGACTTTATGCTGCCCACTCTGGGTGAGAGAGGGCCGCAGTCCCCAGAGAGCTGATGACCAACTCTTCCCTTTCACAAGGAGCAGCGAGACAGAAGGGTGTTGTGGGAGCCAGCCCGGCTCTGAGACGGGGACCAAGGACTTCCCAGCCCAGAGCAGTCACCCCCCCATCCAATACTCCCCTCACCTTGGGCGGCACAAGCAACTCTTCTGCCTCCTCTTCTCCTTCCCGATAATACACTTCGACACCACTGTCGTCCTCTTCAGACGGGGCAGCCTTCTTCTGCTTCTTGTTCACCCTGTCCTGAGATGACGGGGAGACTGCACAGTCTCCATCTGGCCCAGGAGCAGTGCTCCCCGCTCTGCCCTCCTGGCACCACAGCGCCCGCCCCAGCACGCACCTGTTCACTTCCAGACTCCGCGCGCGAGCGCTTGCCCTGCCTCCTTTCCCGTGGTTCCGGGGGCTCTTTCTTCTCCCTGCTGGGTCGCTTCATCTCCTGCCCCCTTCTCAGCTGCTTCTCTTTCCTCTTCTCATTCTCCTCCTCCTCCTCTTCTCCCTTTTGCTCTCTCTCCTCTTCTGCCTCCACTCTCCTCTCCCCGTGCCTTAGGAGTGGCAGTCCCAGGGAGGCAGGAAACACGTCCGGCTTCCCAGTGTCGCTGGGGAGGAATGACAACTCTACCAGGTTCTTCTGGTGGTTCAGCCTAAGACAAGGGGGCGGGAGGGTGACAGTGAGAACGGGAAGAGGAGCACAGTGGGCACTCGAGCACCAGGCCTTCCTGTGCCCCTCGTCCTCCAGCTGGGCCTGCACCCCTGCCTGAACCCACTCAGTATTCTGAGGCATCACTTGCACCTTTTGTCATGATTAGCGGGAACACACAAGGACAGCTGTGATGTGACCCCGTTCCATCCCCAACAACAGGTGTCCATGCAAAGAAAAGTCTCCACATCTGCCTTTTAGAAGCTAAGGCAAGAAGCTCCAAACAAAGGGGCTTTGTTCATCTGAACATAGTGTTCCCCACGACCCAAGCCATTATGTTTGAAGTTTACCTCAAAACCTCCTCCTCGGACTCCCAGAGAGAGGGGAGGAGGGACGGAGGGGATGAGGGAAGGGAAAGGAAGGGAGAGAGCGTGCACCCACCTTAGGACCTTGGCTGTGAGCAGCTTCCCTTCAGGGAGGTATCTGTTATAATGCACTTTCTTAGACAGGCTATACTGGGAGACGTGTGGGTACTGGGCCAAACCCACAACAGAGGGGCCAAGGCTGACAGGAGAGAGACAAGGGTCCAGCAGTCACAAATACAACAGTGTCTTGGCCAAGCCTAGTGCTTTTTTTTTTTTTTTTTTTTTATAGAGGCATGTTTTATTTATTTGTTTGTTCGTTCGTTTATACATGCACTGGGTACAGTCAGAAGCGTGGGAGGGTGAGAGAATTCACCAGAGCCAGAGCAGGGAGCAGAGCAGGCAGAAGGACCGAAGTACACTGCTGAGGGGAGCAGCGGGCGGCAGGAGAGGTCTGCGCGCCATGTGGGACCCTCCTCCGGTGGCTGGGGAGCAGCCGGGGATCGAACTGGCGCGGCAGAGGCCGCGGGCAGCTTCGCAACCCAGCGCTCAACCACTGCGCCACCGGGGAAGCCCCAAGCCTAGTGCTTTTACTGTCCCTGGGACCCAAGCTGTGATAAGGTTTTTATGACAGACAAGTTCCTGGCATTGCACAGGATAAAAAAGGCTTGTTAAACTGAGAAAAAATCATCCAGCATAATGAAGACATGACTGAAAAACATTTTTTACCTCATATCAGAGCTTCGCAATCACAAACTGCTAAAGGAGGAGATGTAACTATGGCAGGGAATGTTGGGCTATCTAGGGGGTTTTGAACACTGTGTGATTTCACAGAACATTTACAAATCGTGATCATGAATGTGCCACATTCTTGGTCCAAAACACCAAATCAGAATAATTAAAAACCTATTTGAAAATAGAACAAATTCTTGGAATTTTCAAAACCAAAGGGAGCTCACAGACCTCCCTCACATTCCCTTTAGAGAAGATGACTGGGGTGCAGCAGGCTGCAGCCCAAGATAGGCCTAGAAGGCACTTGGGTAAGACCCAGGTCCCCAGGTTCCATCTCACTCACCTCAAGAGCACGCCGTGGGGTTCGATGGCCTTCACATAGCCCCTCAAGAGCTGTCCTTTCTGTATGTCTCGGATGGAGCTAATTTCAGGATCTGTTATTTTGCTTTTTGTCTCTGGGTTTGTCCTAAAGGAATAAAAAGTAACATTCACGTGAACCCTTTCCCCACCCTCATCCGCCACTCATGATAATCAAACTTTGCAATGATGATATGACTCTTGACCTGTCCAGGGGATATACTGACCTTACCCTACCCTCTCCTAAGTCCTGTCAGATGGGGATCTGTGTCTGTGAGCTGGCTCTGTGAAACAGGAAGAGGAGGCTAACCAAGCCAGAGGGAAATCAAGAGAAATGTCCATGGCACACTCACCCCTACTATGGAACCCTGAGGACACACCCTCATGTGAATGTGTGAACCCTTCCCTGGGAAGCATGAACCCCAGCAGTTTCTTTTAGCAATATGAATGTCCGCAGCTTTTCTGGATGAAAACAGAGAAAGTATAAAGTGAATAGACAGAGAAAAAAGGTGGGAAACCCAAAGTTCTGTGTCAGATCCTCGTAACCTCTCCTCTGTCAGTGTTCTCCCCGACTCCTGTCCAACACAGGTACCTACCTGGACAATCGCAGAGACAAAGTGAGTACATGGCCTGCTGTGGACAGGACATAACACCTAGAATAAGAACAAGAACAGAAGAAATGCCATTTTTTTCAACATCTCAGGAGACAACAGAAGGCCTCCAGCTTCCTCTCTACAAGGCTGACCAATGGGCAGAGCAAGGACACACAAGGCAGGGGCTCTGTCCTTCATTCTGTTGAAAACAAGGCAAGGGACTCTGGACAAGTCAGATCTCTGAGCCCTAGTTTACTACTCTGTCACACATAAATAACACCAGCCACCCCTCTTGCCCAAGAAAGGTGCGGGGAGAAGAAAGCAAGAAGAGACATGAAAGCCCGTTGGAAGATACACAGGGGCACCATGTGTATCATGTGTCAGCATTTAGGAGATGAGGCCAACCCCATGTTGGGTCCTGGCAGCGTCTGATTCTAGGGACCAGGTGACAACCTGGGTACTAATGCAGACTAAGCAAAAGAGCAGAGGAGGCCCACCAGTGAGGCCTGAGTAGAGGGGAACCCTCCAGGAGAAAAAGCAGGGTTACTCTTTAGTTGGATGTCCAAAATTAGTTCATCTAAAACGTCCTTAGCAGACAAAAGTTGCAGTTTCTAAGTGTATAATCTTATTAGCAGTACAAAGGATCTCAGCAACAAGGTTGTCCAGGTTTTCCCCATAACAGGTATCTGCCTTGGATGACATAATATTGGGGCCATTAAAGTGGGAAAGGACCTCAAGGGATTGTTTATCTTCAGGGAATTATTATCCATATTTGACATATCAAAGAATTGCAACTATTTGGCTATAACAAAATGCTTTTATTGGTTTGGCTATAATAAAATGTATTTAGAGCAAATGTTTTGCCCCAAATCACACCAGCATTTTGTAAGCCTCAGAAGAGAAAATGCTAGGCATCGCTCTAATGCATTCTTTTTCTTCTCCCAGGCCCTAGAAATTTTTGCTTAGTGTTGAAAAATGGTTGAAAATTTAGGCAGCTGCTGGCAGCCAGGACCTGAGATCAGGAAGTGAGCAATCAAATTACTTTCCAGTCCCTGCTTCCTACAGGTTCCACACCATTGTTGCAACAGGCTGAAATCTGCCTCTTCAATGCTAGCCTATGTAAGCCACAAAACAGTTTTAAAACTCTGAGGTGGATTTATTTTTGTACATCTGAAATAGATCATAAATAAAGCCCAACCCCAGATACAAACAGGTCACTATCTTTTAACAGAGAACACCTACAGATTAGTTTTTTTAATTAAAGAGATAAATGCTACAATGTAAAAATGAGCAGGCAACTTGGGCAAGCAAAGCACAGAGCAGAAGTAAACAGCCAATAAAGATGACAAATGACCAGTAAGAGGAAAGCAAATTAAAATGAAAGATCAATTTTTGCCTGTTCAATGGCTAGGAATAAAAATTGAGATAACCAGTGTTCAAGGAAGTGTGAGAAACAGTCATATTTATTGTTAATGACGATACAAATTAGCACAATCCTTTAGGAGGGCAATGAGGCAAAATGTGTAACATTGTCTGACACATTGATTTTGTTCTTAAGAATTTATTTCACAGTTTATTTGTACTAGTATCCAAACATATGTGCAGATACTACTTTCAACATTATTTAAACAGAGGTTTAAATAAAAAAATATACAATGGGATATTAAAAAATTTATAAATAAGGTGAAAGAGCAACTAGAGTTGTATATACCAGTATGGGAAAAGAAAAAAATCCATGATAAACTGAGAAAAATCCAAGTTGCAGGACAGTATAGACAATTCAATTCTATTAATAGAGGGAAAAGTAAAACCAGATATGGTTATTTCTTGAATGACACATTCTGGCAAAAAGTGGAGGAAAAAGAAGCAATAGAAACTTTCACTTTCTATATTTTTTCTGGTACAAAATCCCATGTTACTTCTACAACTACTTCCACAATTCCACAGAAGGCCAAAAAGAGGAAGAAAACTTGACCTACCTGACAATCTTTTGGGGGGTAAAGTCTTCCAGGGCTGCTTCTGAGTAGGAGTCACTCATGTGAAATAGACTGACTTTTCCAGTCTTCCCAAAGGGGAAGGACACAGTCAGTCCCTCGTTGGGAGTCACTTTCACCACCCGGCCCATGGCTACTTCCCCTTTCTTAAGCTTGTGAGGACCTGGGAAGAGAATAAACCCAGGTCACGGAAGAGGAAGCTCGACAGCCAAGCAGCTGAAGGCTGGCCAACCACTGGCTGCTCAGACTTGACCACTAAGACCCAGACGATCATGCCAAGGCTATGTGGTGGACAACCCTTTCTGAGACTTGAGAAAATCAACTACGTAGGCAAAGATGACTGAGGCAGTAGCAGTGTGACACAGGCCACAGTGAAAAGCCCCCCCAAACTTGTTCCAAGAAGACACCAGCCACACTACACTTCCTGAGGACTCCATATCGAAGGCGTCCCTTGACCTGGGCAGAAACTGCAGACCCGCCCCTGCTCCTTTCTACCCACTCCCTTCCCTGGCCAGGCCCCATCCCATCACCATACCTATGAGTGACAGACACAAGAAGGCCTTGGAGGAATCTGGGCCAACCACGGTGGCCTTCAGTGCCTCACCAATCTGGAACTTCTTATCTGGATGTTTCAGAACCTGGAAGGACAAGAAAAGTATTACTGTGATGTCTGAAGAAAGGTCTGTCACTCATCCAGAACCACAGCATTTATTTTTTTTTTTTTTTTTTTTGCCTTTTCTTACAAACTTTATTTTTTTTTTCCTTTTTTTTAATAAATTTTATTGTTATATTCCCCATACAATTGCAGCCCCCCATTCTGACCCCAATCCCTCCCCTCCCACCCCCGCCCCCCTAAAAGTGTCTCTGGTTCATAGTTTTTTGTTGATTTTGATTTTCACTTTCTTATAGTTATTCATTTTCCTGGTCCCTTATTTAAGTTTTCTAGATTCCTGCTATGAGTGAGACCATCCGGTATTTTTCTTTTTCTTTTTGGCTTATTTCGCTGAGCATGATTCCTTCCAGCGCCATCCATGTTGCTGCAAATTGCATGTGTTTATCTTTTTTGAATGCTGAGTAATATTCCATGGTATATATGTACCACATCTTCTTGATCCAGTCATCTATTTTTGGGCATTTGGGTTGTTTCCAAAGCTTAGCTATTGTAAACAGTGCTGCTATAAACATAGGGGTGCAGGTGTTCTTTGGAATTGATGTTTCTGTGTCCTTTGGGTAAATACCTAGGAGTGGAATTGCTGGATCATATGGAAGCTCTATGTTTAGTAGGTCCAGAAATCTCCATACAGCTTTCCACAGTGGTTGGACCAGTTTGCACTCCCACCAACAGTGCAGAAGAGTTCCTTTTTCTCCACACCCTCGCCAACATTTGTTGTTGCTAGTTTTTTTAATATGTGCCATTCTCACTGGTGTAAGATGGTATCTCATGGTAGTTTTGATTTGCATTTCCCTGATGACAAGTGATGTTGAACATTTTTTCATATGCCTGTTGGCCATTTGCATTTCCTCTTCAGAGAAGTTTCTTTTAAGCTCTTCTGCCCATTTTTTGACTGGATTATTTTCTTTGTTGTTGTTGAGTCTCATCAGCTCTTTGCAGATTTTTGTGATCAGTCCTTTATCATTAGTGTTGGGTGCAAAAATGTTCTCCCAGTTGGTGGGGTTTCTCTTTGTTTTTGTTATTGTCTCTTTTGCTGTGCAGAAGCTCTTTAATTTGATGTAGTCCCAGCTGTTTATCTTTGCCTTTACTATCACTGCTTTGGGTGATGTGTCTGTAAAGATGTCTTTGATGTGCAAATCACGTAGTGTTTCGCCTATATTTCCTTCTATATATTTTATGGTTTCAGGTCTTATGTCTAGTTCTTTAATCCATTTTGAGTTGATTTTTGTGTATGGTGTGAGGTGGTGGTCAAGCTTCATTCTTTTGCATGTAGCGACCCAGTTTTCCCAGCACCATTTATTGAACAAACTTTCTTTGCTCCAATGCATATTCTTTGCTCCTTTGTCAAAGATTAGTTGACCATAAATCTGTGGGTTTATTTCTGGATTTTCTATTCGATTCCATTGGTCTGTATGTCTGTTCTTGTTCCAATACCATGCAGTTTTGATGATTATGGCTTTGTAGTATAGTTTGAAGTCTGGGAGTCTGATGCCTCCATTCCCTTCTTTTTTTTTCAGGAGAGCTTTGGCTATTCGGGGTTTTTGGTGATTCCATATGAATTTCATCAATAATTGTTCTATTTCTTTGAAGAATGACATTGAAATTTTGATTGGAATAGCATTGAATCTGTATATTGCTTTTGGTAGGATGGCCATTTTAATAATGTTTATTCTTCCAATCCATGAGCAGGGGATGTCTCTCCATTTCTTTGTGTCTTCTTCTATTTCTTTTAACAGTGTTTTATAGTTTTCTTTGTATAGGTCCTTTACCTCTTTTGTTAGATTTATTCCCAAATATTTGATTTTTTTTGTTTCAATAACAAAAGGGATGGTCTTTTTGATTTCTTCTTCTTCAGATTTATTGTTTGTGTATAGGAAGGCTACTGACTTTTGCGTGTTGATTTTGTATCCTGCCACTTTACTGAACTGATTGATGAGTTGAATTAGCTTTTCTGTGGAGTTTTTGGGGTTCTCTATGTATAATATCATATCGTCTGCAAATAGTGATAGTTTGACTTCTTCTTTTCCTATTTGGATTCCTTGGATGTCTTTCTCTTGTCTTATTGCCCTGGCTAGGACTTCCAGTATTATATTGAAAAGCAATGGTGAGAGTGGACATCCTTGTCTTGCAGAACCACAGCATTTAAATCTGCGTAACAAGTCTCTCCCAAACTGATCCCCAATTAGACCCATGGTTCCTTGAAACAACTGTGAGCACACACACCAGGCACAGAGTTGAGCCAGCGAGCTCAGGTTTCCTCTCCAGAGATCTGAAGCACACTGACCTTGAAGCTAAGAGAAGTGAGCAACAAGGGAATTCTCCCCCGGATATCTGGAGCGATGTCCACCTCAAGCCATTTCTTAACCACGTTGTACTGGGGGGAAAAGAGGAGAAATGAATGGGGCAGACAGAAGCATTTCTTCTTCTCAGTCACTAAAATATACACTCTCCTAAAAGGAAAAAGGGCCCTGATCCTAGTCTCCCAAGGGAAATACTCTCTATAACCCAATGCCCCTGCCCAATCTCCACTTCTCACGGGCTCACTCAGCATCTAGCACAGTGCTTAGCAGAGCATGCATCCTTCCTGGTGCATCAGTTGACTAGGAGGCAAAATAACAACCTCAGAGATTCCCTCAAACAGCAGGACTAATCCCACAGACCCCTGGAGCCTCCTCCAAGCTCAGCTGTGCCGACTGCCTATTAACCTTCTCCAAGGACCAACATGTTATTTCTAAATTAATTCAGAGTTTGATCCTTTACTGTTATAGTGTCCTGCCCAAAACACACACCCCAATTTTTAAGTCAATTTAATACATTTATCAAGCTGCTTCTCTGCATGTGGCAGCATAGTAAAAGACAGGCCCTGCCCTCAAGGAGATTATAGTCTACAAAGAGAAGTCAAATAACTAGAGCAGCAAGCAACATGGAGGAAGTACTACATGCTGCAGGAGTATACAGGTGACCTTGTTGCGAGGGAGGGTTATCCACGCTGGACCTTGCAAGTTTCTAAACAATAGGAATAGAGGGTACTCCAAATGTAGAAATAAAGACAAGAGAGAAAAAGAGAGAAAAAAAGAGGGTACTGCTATACAAAGTGCATGAGGTCAGATTATGAAGCATCTTAAATACCACCCTAAGGCATCCAGGGGGTGTGAATATCTCCAGACAGTGGGTAAAGGGGGTTGCAGGCATTGGCAACATGCTCAGACAGGCGCTACGGAAGCAGCTCAGCAACAGTGAGGAGGCTTGATGGCACAAGTCCAGTCCAACTTTGTGACATATTTTCACCAGAACATTTTATTTATTTATTTATTTGCTTGTTTATTTATTTATACAAGCACTGGGTACAGTCAGAAGCACGGGAGGGTGAGAGGATTCACCAGAGCCAGAGCAGGGAACAGAACAGGCAGACTGACGAAATACACTGTTGAGGGGAGCAGCGGGAGAGACAGGGGAGGTCTGTCGCACCATTCCCACCAGAACATTTTGCATGATCTCTATCCTTTTTGAATTCCCGTTCCACGTGGGGTTCAAACACATAATCTGGCACCCAGTCACATATTGTTTTGCACTGCACCTGAGCTTTTTGCAAAGCAAAAATCTAAAATTCAATACCACATTTATTTTAAATTTTGCTCCGTATTTTATTTTTAATTATACAAGTAATCTATAAACAATTGAACTGAGTTGCTGTTTTGTAAACCTTACACTTAGCTCCTTGATTAGACTAGAAGTCTTTCAGGAATAGAGGCCTAATATCATCCCCACAACCAACACAGTGGTAAACAGAATCAAGGCCCCATGCTAATGGCCTTTGTCTCCATCTTCCCTCCCATCTTCCTAAAGGATGGTATGGCCTTGCAGGGTGAGCACTACTCACCCTCTTCAAGAAGCAAATCACAGTCTGACCAGTCTGGTACTGTTTAATCTTCTCCAAGGGGCTGGCAGAGGGAATGCTGAGAGCAGTGTGGCCATCCTTCTCCAGCTCACTGTTTGCAGAAAGGCAGGAAAGAGCAAACGAACCTCTGGATAAGACTTGTAGCTTAAAAGCATGTCCCCCAAGGGGCCAAGGAGTGTGCACACAGGCCCTCCCCCTCCCCCGCCCCTGTTCTTACAACCCTCTACACCCATTTCCTTCCTTAAAGGGAAATGTTCACAACAGTGGCAAGAGAACTCGTCTTTCCCGTTTCATTCATCTAGGCCTAAACAAGCTCCAAGGTAGGTAGTCTGCAAAATCCTTACAAATTAAAGAAACAAAATTGTTGTACTTCTCTTGTAATAGTTTCACTATTTTACAGTTTGCAAAACTGCTTCACAAATAACCTCTCACTGAATGTGACAACACTCGTGTGAATGAGGCAGGAAAGAAAGGCAAATAAATCATAACACTGGCAGAATCAAGATTAGAACTCAGGCTCCTGACTCCAAAACCCAGTGCTCTTTCCACAAGACCACACTACCAGGACAGAGGTCCCCCACCTTGGCCGAATACTCAGCTCTGGGATGGTTCGAATAAATCTGGGATGACTTATTGGTAGAAACCTGGAGGAAAAAACAAAATCAAATCAATTCTCTTATCTCTGTAACAATGTAATCTGGATAGCAGAATTTCTCTCCACTCCCCACAAAACCAAGCTTAAAAAATCATCTGCTTATTTTGCCCTATCACCGATTAGTCATGCATCAGGCCTGAGGGTTTCCACCCTCATCCTCTGTAGCAATGTCAAGGAGCTGCCTTGTCTGATCTCCTGGGATTATCATATTACACCCTGAAAAGAATTTTTCTTAAAGACTACAGAGTACAAATCTTCCATTTGGAAAATGAGGAAACTGAGGTGTAGAGGGGATAAAAGACTTATTAAAAATCCCACAGGGAGTTAGTGAAATTAATGTGCAAACTAGTGGCTGGACTTTCAACTCTTGTTTTTTCCTTATTGTAGCAAAAATGTCTGCTAAAATACCATATTGTAACTAATCTTAAGTAAAATGAGAATAATTAAGGTATGTGGCAAAGGATGGATTATCATAACTGCTAACATACACTGAGCGATAACTATGTGTCAGGCAAACTGCCAGGCACACCACATTCCAGATGTTCTCTCAGTCCTCACAATGACCCTAACAAGTTAGTCACTACCATATTCTCACTTAACATATTAGGAAAATAAAACTCAATGAGTTAACTACTTAGTTCATGGTCACATAATTTTAAGTGGCAAATTCGGAATTCAAACCCAGGTCTAACTTTAAATCAGTGCTCTTAACCGCTAACCAAGATTCCTTTTTTTTTTTTTTTTTTAAAGATTTATTTATTTATTTATACAAGCATTCGGTATAGTCAGAAGCGCGGGAGGGTGAGAGAATTCACCAGAGCCAGAGCGGGGAGTAGAGCAGGCCGAAGGACCGAAGGACACTGCTGAGGGGAGCAGTGGGCGGCAGGAGAGGTCTGTGCGCCATGTGGGACCCTCCTCCGGTGGCAGGGGAGCAGCTGGGGATCGAACCGGCGCTGCAGAAGCTGCTGGCAGCTTCGCAACCCAGCGCTCAACCGCTGCACCACAGGGGAGGTCCACCAAGATTCCATTTTTAAAAAGGTCATACAAAAAGATACTTTGGGGCCTCCTTGGTGGCACAGGGGTTACTGTCTTGCCTGTTGCTCCCCTCAGCAGAGTATTTTAGTAGATCCAACTTCTGTTCCTCACTCTGTCTCTGGTGAATCCTCACCCCCTCATACCTCTGGCCTACACCGCAGTTCTTCTAAGCATAAATAAATAAAAATAAATTGTGGGCCTCCCTGGTGGTGCAAGGGGTTAAGATGCAACCTATGAAGCTATCCACAGCCACTGCAGCACAGAGTTCGATCCCTGGCCAGGGAGCCACCCACATGGCACAGCAGACCTCTCCTGTCTCGCCCACTGCTCCGCTCAGCAGTGTATTTCAGTCAATCTGCCTCTTCTGTTCCCCACTCTGTCTCTGGTGAATCCTCTCACCCCTCACACCTCTGGCCTGTACCCCAGTTCTTGTATGCATAAATAGAAAAAAAAAAATCTTTAAAAAAAAAAATCTTTTTTAAAAAAAGATACTTTGGTTAAAGTTTTTGTTAATTAAAAGACTGATTTAGTGCAACTTTTTACTCATGTTCCTTTTCCTTCTCCCACAATTACAACAACCTCTCCTTAAAGCAAGCCCATTCCCCAAAGCCTCCATACTTGAATGTCTTCACGTCTCGCCCGCCAATCACTCGGGCAGTGACTGTGTTCCCAACTTTTAGGTTGGCAGTAGGAGAGGTGCCCACTGGAACATCGTCGAGAATGTTGGAGGCATGGATACTGCCAATGATGCCATCTTCCAGGGTCACAGCCACATGTGTGGGCTTAATGGACTTGACTGTCCCTGTGACGATATCCCCAATGGACAGGGTGTGCTTCTTCACAGCCCCTACAACCAGAGCTGGATCCACCTCCTCATCCTCCTCAACCGTCTCAGAGTCCTTCCGGGTCTGTCTCATAGTCCTCTTAGTAGCTGGCCCCTCAACAGCCAAAAGAAGACCAGTTGCTCCCGGTTCTGTAGTCTTGAGGGTGAGGGAAACACCCTGTCCCACCTGCAGCTTCTCTGAGTCAAAGCGAAAGGTGTCATTGAGGTGAGAGGTCAGGGAGAAGGCTGCCAGGTGGCCAGTCTCTACCAAGGAGGCAACAGCAAAGGACTCCTCCAGGTGCTGCACAATTGCCTGGTATTCTTTGCCTTTCTTCAGCTAGAAGACAGAGAAAAGCCATCATCCACGCTTCTTAGAGTCCACAAGTACTCAGGCATCACCCACTAGGCAAGGCAGGGCTGGGGTAGCCCTCTGGAAACTAGGGGACCCAAGGCTAGACTGAGCTGTTGAACAAATGGCTTTTACTCACTAGACCACGGTGACGCGAGTAAACACAAGGTGCCACGCTATAATCACTTGGAGTTAGCAACAGTTTTGAATTCACATTCCGAGGACTTATCCTGGCACTAGTAAATCCAAATTTAAAAAGCTATTCAGGTGACTCTGATGCACAGCCAGCTGACCTAATGGTTCTCCAGCTTTAAGATACTAAGACTCATAACTCTCTTGGTCTCGCAGCTCTCCACCAAATAAATCTGCTCTTTCATTCATTCAGCAAGCAGAGTTGCTACTGAGAGATTATTGGGTGCAAGGCATATGGCCTATCTTTTCCCAAAATCCACACTGTGTACCAGCTTTACTCAGATGATAAAATGGGACAGGGACCTGCCAGAAAAATCTAGTGAAAAGCTGGCTTCATTTCTTATTTCTCCTTGTCTCAAAGTCTTAAAACTTTAAGCAACTACAATTAAGGATTATACCTAAAACTCTGCTTCATACTTTATGCAATTATATACTCATAATGCTTTAGATGAGGACCAAATACATTATGCCATCCAGAGGAAAACATAAATTTTGAGATTTCTCTTGAACCCATTCTTCTGTCACATAGAGGATGAATAGCCTGGAGGTCAGGATTACCCATGGATGTATTTTGTTTGGGTCATATGATGTTTTTTTAAATTATAAATGTCATTTCCAGCATTTATTTAAAATACAAATCCAAATTCTGCCTTCTATCAAAAATCAGACACTATACCCAGATGTTCCCACTTGGCAACAACCACAGGGAGCTGAAGAGTCTCTGTCCCTGGTTCCAGGTCATGCATTACGCTGTCAATTCCACAGCTAGCACTGCCTAACCCACCTGCTCATATCACTTATTCACATTACCTGCTTGGCCCTAAACACAGGTGACCACAGAATTTATCATCTGAACCAGAGTCAAAGTGCTGTCAATAACAACACCAAGATGACGGGTGGACACTAGGAATGTCCTAGCCAAATCCAGGCACACAGCCACCCTATCTATAGTTTGGCATTAGAACCCCAAGCAAAAAGCATGAGATTGAAGGGGTGTGTGGCGTATCAGCAAACTTACCTTTTTAGTTTTTCTGTTCACCAAGCTGTGGCAGAGGGAAACATGTACTTCCAATTTCAACATGTCAACATTTAGGATTGCAACCTTCTTTTTCTGCCCAGGTTCTACCTCCTGCCCTGCAGTGCGGGACCAAACAATGTGATCACTCTCCTGCAGCACGGTGAAGGGAGACAGTACCCCTCCAAGAGCCCTGCAAGTCCTTAAGCCCAAAAAGAAGATAAAAGGACGTATGTCCGGGGTTGCTAGCACCCATTGTTCAAGTGCAGGTGAGCCTTAATTTATGCAAGCTGATACACAAAAACTTAGTGACCCAATTATAACAATAAAAGGATTTATATCTGCACCTTTTTTAGTATGCTGTCAGTTATCTTGATTTGCACTCACACAAGATAGGCACCCTGAAAATTTCAATTGTACCAATTCATCAACCCCATGTCTTTGGAAATTCTGTAGCCAGGATGAGGATAACTGGCAAAGGGATTCTCCATCAACCATGATGATGGGCACAACGGAAGCACTCACCTGCCCGATGGTGCCTGCTGGCTCTCAGGGTCAGGCCAGGCACTGGGCCCTCACTGAACACTACAGAGCCATCTTCTAACACCTCCTGCACCTCCAGGTCAAGCACCATCCCTGGGGTCATCTCTGCCAGTGTCTGGATCAACACAGAGTCTGCCAGAGACCCAAAGGAAACAGGGATTAGTAACAGGAAACAACACTCACCAATCTTTTGCTTTGGAAATGCAAGAGGGCAGTAGAGCAGTGCAACCACCATGAAGGTAAAATCACCTCTGGTAAGAATGTTTAATACTCATGAGAATTATCACAGGTAGAAAGACCTAAGCCTCTTGCAAACCTCCCTAGTCACCCATTCGTCAAGACAACCAATAAATACCAAAGACTTAGGTTTTCTTTTGGTTTTTGAATTTTTAGTCATTCTGTTTAGAATCTACCCTCTAAAGTCTTTTGTTCCTAATTGCCATTAAGTTTGCAACAATCCCACAAAAAGTTCCATGTCTAGGAGGGTCAGAATAAGAGCCCCCATTGAAACCTCTACCAGGGCCTGTTGCAATTTCTCACCCACTGTGTATTTGCTGAACAAAGAAACAAAAAGTGAACAGGTAAACACTGCACAGCACGCTGAAGCTGTGATCAGATTCCAAACTGGGTGGAAGCATGTGAATCTGGGAGGTAGGTAAACGGGTGTCTGCCTTATAAACAGTTACTGAGCTGTACACTTACTGATTAGTGTGCCTAATGCAGGTCATATTCCCAATTTTAAAAAGTTTATTTTTTTGTTTTAATTCCAAGAAGCCCAACAACCCATCAAAACAGACAGGCGGCACTCAAGGGTGCTCCCCACCCTCAACCCTCCTCAACCCTGTTCCCCTACCTTGGTTGCTCATGAGGCTGCGCACACCCTGCAGCTCCTCCAGGCACTGGCTGAGGAGGAGGAGACTTGTGGTAGCCATGTCCTCCAGAGTACAGTCTGACAGCCGCAGTGATAATAGCATCCGCTGCTTCTCCTTGTCCACATTGGTCACCTTAGCAACCACTGTCTGTCCTTCGACAAAGTGGTCACTTGTGGAGGTCACAAACTTATCACTCATGAGCTGACGGGAAGAAAATGGGAAAGGAAAGGAAGTTCCATGAAGAAAACCCATTTCATGTGCCCACAAAGAGTTCAATGGGGGTCGAATGAGGCCCAGAATGTTCCCCACAGCCCTCTCAGCACAGCGCTACGCTCCTTCCACAAACACATACACAAGGTCCTGGCTGCCAAACTCAGACTTCCAGGGGACACCCAGACCAGAACTCATGTTACTGCCAGGCCTCTAACACCTAATGAGAACTGTGACCTCACTAAGCACATTTCCAGGGCCCTCCCCCTGCTCCCATTTTAAAAACTGTTCTGGTAGGAGATACAAATGAGATTGTCCAGGCAAAACACCAGGGAGACAAAAGTATGGAGAGGGAGAAATATTCATGTATTATCTGAGGTGTGAATGAGCTATAAGCTATTTTCTTCTACCAGACATGCCCCACTCAGAGTCTGTTTATTCAGCAGGCATAACAACATGTAGTCTAAAAAGGTTGTGATTCAATGAGATGGGGGGGGCAGAGGAGCTAATAATTTCAAGGGTATTCTGGTAACTTAATACCTCAAAAACCCCAGGAGGCTAAAAAAACTGTACTCAAGGTGCCCAGGAAAACCTATTTCCATGTCTATATATGCTGGGAGTCCAAAAACATGTTCAGTATGTTCAAATGTAGTCTTCATGGCTGCTGTTCACCTGCCCAATGCTGCAGCATGAAGTTCGGGACCCAACCCTGAGTCAGGACATGCAGCCTGGGCAAAGGAGCATGGGCTAAAGCTCAGCTCCACTCCCCCTCGCCAGGTGCTTCATGTCATGCCCCTGAAAATCTCTCAAGGGATGAGTACCCGCTCTTTCCCACGCTTGAGTTCCATGACCTGTTCTCTCTCCTCAAAGGCCCTTGCAGGGGGCTGAACTTACAGCTTTAGGGGCCAGTCCGCTAAGACCTGAGGGGAACTGGACGAACACACCGTAGTCCTTGATGCTCTTCACAAAACCCATGAGCAGCATTCCAGGATGGATCTCTGAGAAGCTCTTAGGATCCTGGCCACCTTCTACTGTGGAGACCAAAGCTGGTTTCCTGCAAAGGAGCTGGTAGCACTTCATCAAGGAATATTCCAGAAAGAGTAGATGAAATGACCATCACTTCACTCTACACCTTCTGCTACTCCAGTGATTCTCCAAGTGTGCAGGTTAGCAGCATCTGTATCACCTGGAACTAGTCAGGAATGCAAATCCTTAAGTTCCACCCAGCCTACTGAGGGAGAAACTCGTGTGTGTGTGTGGGGGGGGGGCGAGAGTGAGGGGGGGTGTCCAGCAACTTGCATTTGAACAATCCCTCCAGGTGATTGTGAGGCACACAAAAGTTTGAGAACCACTGCCTTATTTCTTCCCTCATGAACTCCTTTACAGATCACTGGAGGGAACCAAAAAAGGAGTGGCCCACCCAAATGTTTGGCAGCTGAACTGGCCATGATACAGCCCTCTACTGTTCCCATGTCACACCAACCAGCGCTCCTCACCTTCCCTGCCCACCTTCACTCTAAAGTGATATTAAATTCTGTAAGGGAAGAGGCAGTGTTCTCCTTCAAAGCACCTACACCGAGACCAAGAGGAATTTTCTAAGCCCCAAATCCCAAGGGGGAACAGGGAGGGTAGTGGGTGAAAAATGGGAAAGGCAGGAAAGGACAACAGTTACGTAAATTTTCCAACTCGAGGGGACAAGCACTGAACCCCTCAAAAAAGTCTAGTTGTGTGACAGGGAATATTCTGCTGGGTCTGGCACACCACCCTATCCCTCCCCAGAACCCTGGACTCTCACTCTGCCCCGACCCTCAGCATCTTCAAGCAGGCAGCACTTTAACCCTGTTCTTACTGTCCACCAGGAGAATAGAGGGAGAAGGAAGGCTTGGCTAATGGCTTGGTTTTATGAAGGTATTTCTGAAATCAAATGGCCAATATTTTTTCATCATGCTTCTAAGAGCAGAGCTGACCCAGGGTTACCCGCCCTCCCACACCCAGGCCCATAACTCCCCGACCTTCCACAGCACTCCAGATACATCAGTAAAGGATACAATATGTCCCTCACGCTGGCTCAGACACAGTACTCTGTGAAGGGTATCGCCTGCCTGGATCCAGTGAAGCAACAGTGGGCCATTGGCGACATGGTCTGATAGATGAGGCGTGGGGAGGAAAGCAGGTATGTTGTGGGGCAGGACAGCCACCTCTAACCCATCTTTGTTCTTCTCTAAAACCTTCACATCCACCAACTACTCAGGGAAGAGAAAGACCAAAATCAGCACTTGTCAAGCACAGAGCAATTTCATCTGGGTCAGGAGAGCAGGGCATCAAATCTGAGCACCAGGATCACTGAGGTCAACCTCAGAGAGGCAGCTTTGTCCATACCCCACACACACCACCCCTGTACCCCTGCCCAACTGCCGAACGCACCCACTGGTGCGGTCACTCCTCTCTCCAGTCCCTCCCACCGGGTCCCAGAGGAAGGAGAGACTTGCAGGCTGGCCTTAGGGAACACAGAGGAGAGGGCAGCAGGACATGCTGAAAAGCAAGACTGTGACAGACCTGTCCTTCCCTGGGCAGCTTCCATTTGCCCTGACACACAGGAAAAAGCATACATGAGGGTCTCTCAGAGAGAACCCCAAATCTCTCTAGCCTGAGAATGTCCTCTGACTTCCCCAACCCTTCCCCTCTGTGGGCTCCAGTATCCCGTGGGCCAGGGCACCCGGCTCTCCGCCTCAGGAAGCTGAGGTTTGTCCGGACAAGTCCAGTACCTGCCCAGTGCTAATGGCTCTCTTCTTCTGATTGTGTTCCACGTGCTCTTTCTTTGGATCACTCAACAGCTTGAAGGACAAGAGCATCCTCTCTTTGGACGGCTCACAGTTCAACACAGCAACCTTCACCACCTGGTGAGAAGCACATCTGCTTAGTTAACTCCTCACAGCTGGCCTTTCAGGTCCCAGAGAAAGGTGCCCCCCGTAAGCATTGCAGAGGACTTAAGAGAGCCACCAAAACCCTGGGTCAGATGGGAAGGCAGTGAAGAGACATGTACTGAGTTACACAGAATCCCACAAGGCTTTCTGGGTGAAAGGAAGACTTGAATACATTTTTTGGTGTAACCCCAAGTTCAAAATTTTTATTTTCCTAGACAGACCCAGACGCATAGTTTTATGACACTGCCCCCTTGTGGTGACAGTGGCCTCAACAATTTCTGATGTGAGGGACACCCAATGTGTTATTGGTAAAGACTAATAATTTCTTTAGTAAAAGGCGAAAGATTTATACAATCTGAAGAGAAACCAGAGTATAAGACTAATAATTTCTTCCAAATTGTAGGTTTGAAGTCCATTAGTTTGCCAGCTGCTGTTGAACCACCAAGGGTTTCTCTCTGTCCTGTTCGCCATCTCTTCCTCATACCTGGCTCAGGCCCAAGCACTTCTCCTCATCTCTTAAAGTAACTCTCCCACTACTCCTTCAAATCTGTGCTCAGGGGGTCACCAAGGATGGGAGCGATCCAGGGAAAGGGCTACCTGGCCAGTGTAAAAGACGTTCTCCGGGTCAGGGATAGACTCGGCACTGAGCTCATGCTTGGGCACCAGTCCCTGCACATCGCCATAGAACTTCACAATGCAGCCGTAGTCCTTGACCCTGAGGATGAAGCCGTGTGTCTGCAGACCAGGCTTGGCGTCAGCATAGGAGGTAATGGCAGGTAGTTTGGACCCAACGAGGGTTTTCTTCAGGGTCAGCAACAGTTTCTTGGCATCAGGGTCACAAAGCAAAACCTAAGGGGAGGATCATCAAGTTACCCAGTATCAAGAGAGCCACCGAGTTGGTCCCTACAACCCCCTGAAGCCAAAGGCCATGGTTAGCTCCTAAGGACTTGCTATCTCTTTCTCTCTGAGGATAACCTATCACAGATCCTTCCTGCTTCCTGCCAGATGACAACCTAGGTGTATCACTATTTCCAAAGTACTTCCTACCTCAAGTTGCTGCAAACTACGCCCTCGGGGGCCGCAGCAGCACTCATCAACCCACTGCACTCCAGTCCTGGGTCACAGGTTTTTCTAACTGCTTTAGGGCCCTAGTCCACTTGCATCTCATCTAATAGAAGGAAAAACTGAACTGACTTACCAGCTAAGTACTGTTGCATATTAGCTACAAACTAAGACTAAGAGATCCAACTAGCTCTCTTCCCTCAGAAAGTCATCTCTTTGAGGGCAAAGAAAATCCTCTAACACCTAACCCTGCTACTAAAAATTTTGCACCAGCGGGCAACGAGTTATTGCTGACTCAGTAACAATGAAATAAAATGAAAAGAAAAGAAAATCTAACATTCTGAGCACCTGCACATGCCAGGTCCTGTGCTAAACAAACACTGTGTAGAATCACATTTACTCTTCACAATGCTCTTTAATTTCTCTTGGGATTCAAGTCTGTCATAAAGTTTTGGTAGCTTTGTTTGTGCCATTTCTGTGCCTAACACACTCCTTGCTCCTCTTCAACCTCCCAGATCCTACCCATTTTTTCCAGTTCAAGCTCTACTGCTGCCAGAAATGTAGAAGACATTACTGTCATAGAGGTGAATTTGAAAACTGGTTCTGCAATTTATTAGCTGTATGACACTGGGTTAGATACTTGGCTTTCCTAAGCTTTAATTTTCCCACCTGCAAAATGAGGGCAACAGTATCTACTGTATTGAGTTGTTTTAAGGATTGAAAAAAATAACACAAGTCATGTGCTTGGGTAGCAACTGGTAGAGAGCATGTATTACATGGTAGCTGCTCTCTGTTATCAGTGATGATTCTTACTGCCCCATGCCACTTTCAAGGCCTTTATCTGAGGTCTGACCACAGCATATATGGCCTGCACTTAAGCACACGGCAAAAGGTCTCACTGGCCTGCTTTCTCCATGTACAGATATCTGACCTCTCAATTATACTAGACAATTCTCAAGGGCAGGGACCATACTAGACACAGCACTATAGATATTATGTGATGTTTTGTGGAAAAAGAAACTTCAGTTGAGAAGCACGGTGCTCATTGCAAGCTGGTGCAGTCCCCAACAGAGACCCTGCGTGAGGCTCACCCGGCACTTGACCTCATCCCCAACGTGGTACTTCTTCTCTGGATTCTTCAACCGGATGTCAGCAAGGTGCATGGTAGGTACCAAGCCCCTAATGTGCTCGCCCACCTTCACCAGCATCCCACATGACTTGATGGTCACCACTGTGCCCTAGGGAATCCAAAGAAAAGATGCCAAGATGCTTCAAAAATGGTCTTTCCTCCTCCTCTTACAACAAAGCACATCATACCTATCTTACAAAGCCCAGCTTCCTGATCCAACTGTGCCTGCTGCTCCAGATCTCATACAGGCGAGGCACAAACTCCACCCTGATCTGGATATAGTCAATATATTTATGGGAATCTTCACACCTTTTTGTGTGAGCAAGTAATTTCTGTCTGCTTTACAAGTACAATCTTTAAAGAAGACTATGTCTCCCCTAAAATGGACTCTACCTATAAAGGTGAGCTAGCTGCCCCAGACAAGAGAGACAACTGGAACCGGTTTCCTACACAGCCCCCCCCCCCCCAGGGGTTCAATTACCACAGCTGGTCTAATAAACATCACCAACCCAAGGATTGATGATCTACTGCCTCTGTGTAGCTGGGTGGTACAGGTAAGACGGTTACTTTGAAATTAATTACAAGTTTGCCAAGGGAAGAGAAAGAAATCCCAGTTAACAGGCAGAGGCAAAGAACAAGACTTTAAATGTGTTACCGTGAGGACTAATGAGCTGACAATTAAACTGTGAACTAACAAATATTTAAAGGGAGGGGGCGGACCTAATTATATGCTTGTGGCCTTACCTTGACCAATGCCCCAGGATTAATGTCATGATACCTGAAGTATTCAGCTTCAATAATAGCTCTAGAACAAAAGGAAAACAAAGCATTTAATAAACTACAGCAGAGGCGGCCTAAAAGTCAGGGCTACTTAAGTTGCACCAGCACAGAAGGAAAGCCTTACCAAGGAAGGCCAGGAGAAACTGCATTTAGAGAGGAGCCAACCCCGCACCCTGTCCCCCCATCCCACACACATACACACACATGTTAATAAGACTTACGTCCGCAAAGAGAGCAAAGCCAATTCATCCATTTGGCTGAAGTCAATGATTCTACCCTTGTGAGTATTCCCTGGCTTGAAGGTTTTAGGATTGAAGACGTTCTTAGAATCAGAGAGATGGCTGAGCTGCAAAGTACCAAGTGATTAAAGACAAACCAGAGAAGAGAGATGTGAGGCAATCAGACATTACAGCACACCAAGATGACTCACATTTATCACCTGCCATCAAAACAGTACTCTGAATACCTATTAAAATTATTCTAACTAAAAACGGCTCTTTACCATCATGGAATCTCTATAAGGTCAAAGAAGAATCTAGATCAGGAGTCAGTAAATTGAGGCTGACGAACCACTATTTTTGTAAATCAGTTTTACTAGAACACAGCCCGGCCCATTCATTTACATACTGTTTATGGCAGCTTTTAGCCATAACAGAGCTGAGTAGTTAGAACAGAGATCACATGACCCACAAGTCTAAAAGTATTTTCTGCCTGGCCCTTTAAGAAAACCTTTGCCAAATTGTGTTTCAGATCCTAACTTATTCTTGAAACTACCATCAACCAAGTATCATTAAGTAAATTTAATTATAAGGCACTCTAATATAACAAATGTGCATTGTTCCGGCCCCAATGAGTAGTCTGCCACACTTGGGAATATTGAAAAATAGGAATTTAACATAAGGGGTAAAGGAAGCAAAAAAGGACACTGGTGATCCAAAAGTTCTTCCAGTGATAAGATACCTGGCAAAATTAAGAGGGGCCTTACCCGAGCAAAGGCCAGAGACCCATCCTTCAGCTTAAAGGTGGCACCAACTTTGTTGAAAAAGCCCTGGACAGTAACGTTATCCAGCACAGCTCCCAAGTGCTGGCAGGAGAGCCTGGTGAGTGGGCGCCCAGGCTGCAGGAATGTGGGGCGCACGCTCAGCCGTACAACTTTTGTCTGAGGATGGATACAGAGGACGCAGGCCCTTACCTGCACAAGGAAAAGGGAATAACGATCAGGAGACACACAGGATATAAGACCCCTGGAGCAGACTTTCTGAGGTCAAGACTCTCCATGTGCTGTTGAAGTTGGACGTCAAGTAGCACACAGAAAATTCAAATAAAATGTCCTAGAAGGTTATGTGCAATTAAATTAAGGCTTACTCAAGGCAGTAAAAATATCACCTTAACACCATCATGCTAACAACACATATGGGACAGAAAACGTGTACTGGTGTCACCACGAACAGGCCACACACAAGGTCACGGCCTGTAAAATGACTGAACTCTGCACACAGATATGACTAGAGGGAGCAAAAAAAATTATTAAGAATAAGTTTACCAAAATGTGAACAATATATAGGAAAAGAGGTCTACTAAAACGTCAACAAAGATGTCACTGAATGATGAAAAAGCTCATTTTTATTTAAAAAAAAAAAAAGTTTCTATGGCATCTATAGCATGTATCACCGTTAAAAACAAAAAAATAAAATCTTCTTTCATTCTGGAAAACATTCTGAGATTATCTTCCCAAATATCCATGTTCGCTGTAGAAAATTTGAATATTTAGATAAGGAGAGAAAAATTACCCAGAGTTAATTATTACTAACACCTGATTACATAATCTTCAATATTTCAGCCAGTTGTACTTTAAAATTTTTTTCAAAACTGTTATTTCTACTACTCAGAGTACTTTTTAAGCTACATTTTTCTATTTAAACATGTCTACTTTAACATATCTTGTTCTCCTATGTTACATCCTACACCCCTCCTCCCCCCACCAAAACACTTTAAGTTACAAAAGAGAAGACTTGTTACCCAAACCCTATCCCCCTGCCTCGAAATCAGTTAAGTTTGGAAATGAAAGAACACAAAATAAAAACTAAAAGCTACCTTTTCTCCCTGGGCTCATAACCTCAGTCCCCAGAGATAACTACTGGAACTTTCTTGTGCTTCTCCAAAACTCTTTTTCCTCCCCTCACCGCCTCGCGCCCCTGCAGCCCTACGGCCCACTCCATAGCTTGCTGTGGGACTGGACAGCTGACTGGGACACAACTGAAATCAAGGAAAGAGAAGCGCAACATTTCTTACTGCTTGATTTGAGAAATACGTCCCAGCTTTCTTGGGATCCAGATGCATGAAGTCCACCAGACCAGTGAAATGTGAGAGGAAGTTTAGCTTAAGGCCAAAAGAAGTCACCTAGAAATAAACAGAACAAGTCATGAAAAACCTCTCTGTGAAAAAACTGAGAATGTGAGAGATGTGTCCATACCAAACACTCAATGCTACATGTTTCATCGTAACTGTGTCAGACAGAGGGTACCTAAGTGACCAGGCCCAATAAAGCACCAGGAATTAAGTCTCTAATGAGTTTACTGGTAGAAAACATCTCACATGTGCAGTCATAACATGCTGCTGGAGAACTGACTACACCCTTTCTGACTCCAATAGGAGGGAACTTTTCAAAGCTTGCTCCTGGGTTTTCCCAGACTTCACTCCACAGGCCTTTTCCTTTTGTTGATTTTGTCTTACAGTCTCTCCTCCTTTCCCTGTAATAAGTCATAGCCATGAATACCCCTATAGGCTCAGTCCTGTAAGCCTTTCTTTCTTTTTTTTTTTAAAGATTAATTTATTTATGCATACAAGAGCTGGGGTATAGGCCAGAGATATGGGGTGGGGGGGTGGTGGTGAGAGGATTCACCAGAGACAGAGTGGGGAGCAGAACAGGCAGACTGACTGAAATATACTGTTCAGGGGAGTAGCGTGTGAGACAAGAGAGGTCTGCCTCGCCATGTGGGTTTCCCTCTGGCTGGGGATTGAACTCGTGCTGCAGTGGCTGTGGATTGCTTCATAGTGCGGTGCTTAACCCTTTGCACCACCAGGGAGGCCCCTGTGAGCCTTTCTGATGAATCATGGACCCTAGAGTGATCTTAGGGATCCCAGGACTCACGAGGTCAAGAAATTAACCTCCCAGGTACCATTATGAGGTTTCTTCTGGAAAATATGCAAACTAAAATAAGGGAATAAGCCAAGAGGCCTGAAACCAAAGAAGGAGCCAATACAAGAGAGTGGGGAAGGATCCAGGATGAGAGAAGGGAAGCCTTTAGACATCAGCTATGCAGGAGCCTGACAGAGCAAGCCACTTTGTACCACAGGGGGACAGTGCAAGAGTCTCCAGGTAGAAAAAACAAAGAGATTATTTAAAGGGTTTGAAAACATGGAAAATAGCAGTGAAAGGAAAATAACTAAAGGGTGTGTGAAGAATCGTGATAGGAAAGAAAAGAATTTAGCAAATGACAAAAACAAAGCTGATTATTGACTCTAACAACAACAAAAAAACAATTTCAGGGATGATAGTATAATACCTAGCTCAGCAGTAAATAATATTTATGTAATCATAAAAATTTAAATACTGAATAACCATTTACCCAAAATTTAAATGCACCTCTGTTGGGAAGTTGAGGAGAGGGGAGATTAAGACAGTCAAATCTTCATCTCCCTTGAAAAGTTAAAACTCAATGCCTAAAACTGACAAGCCAAGATATAATTACATGTGTTTTTACATGCTTATTACTAATCTCGGCAATTTAGAAACACAGAAATTTCAAAAAAGAAACTTAAAAAGTTAAAGATGGGTTAGAAAGGATGAGACAGTTTTTCATTTTTAATGCCACTTGATTTGTTAAATCAGTAATGTCCAATAGAACTATAATGCAAGCTACATATGTAACTAAGTTTTCTAGCAGTCACATTTTAAAAACTACAAACACAGGTGAAATTTACTTTAATAACCCAATAAATCCAATGTTACCATTTCACCATGTGGCACTGGCTACATTTCAAGTGTTTAATGGCCACATGTGACCAGTGGTCACAGCAGAGTTTAGACTGTGTACATGTACTTTGATAAACATTACTTTTATTTCAGAAAAGTAACAGGAAGGGCTTACCTCCTGCACCTGGGCTTTGACCACCAATCCTGGTAGCAAGTTGTTAAGGGTCCAGTTTTGCTCTTCAGTGGCAATGGCAACAGAAACGTCTGAATGACCAATAGACAGACTAACAACTCCTCCGTTGCCTTTCACTTTTTCAATGACGCAGTTCAGGTATTGACCCACCTTCAGCTTAGCACCTGCAAGCCCAGCCCCAGCCCCCCCAAAAGAAAGGTAATTCTATGAAAAGGACCTTTAACTTGGACTCAAGCAATACCTGAAAAGATCCACGGCCCATCAGCCCAGTTACTATGTAGCACACCCACATGTGGAAAAACTCCCCCAAAACATGGAAAAATCTCAATAAGACAGGGAAATGCTGGGCCTCCCTGGTGGCGCAGCGGTTGAACGCTGGGTTGTGAAGCTGCCCGCAGCCTCTGCAGCACCAGTTCGATCCCCGGCTGTTCCCCGGTCACCGGAGGAGGGTCCCGCATGGCGCGCAGACCTCTCCTGCCGCCCGCTGCTCCCCTCAGCAGTGTACTTCGGTCCTTCTGCCTGTTCTGCTCCCTGCTCTGGCTCTGGTGAATTCTCTCACCCTCCCGCGCTTCTGACTGTACCCAGTGCTTGCATAAATAAATAAATAAATAAATAAATAAATAAATAAATCTTTAAAAAAAAAAAAAAAAGACAGGGAAGTGCTGGTTCAGAGGCCCTGAGGGCTCAAATTTCAGTGGAAACTTCTTCTGAGAGAGAAAAAGTAAAACTCGACCATCAGATTTTAGTGTGACCCTATATTCGCCTTTCCATCAGCTAATATAAATGAGTAATTTTAGCCAAGTCAGGCAGCCTTCAGCATCACCATACTATCATCATCCTCATCAAAATAATTTAAATATAATCCCCAACTGTACCACCTCACCGATATGTACTAGCCCTTTGTTTTCTGCTCACCTTTGTTCTTCTGTCGGATATACTCCTGGGCATTCTTCAGTGGCAGAAAAGCTCTGGTCCCACCAACACCAATGTCCACTAGGTAGCCATGGTCTTCCAGGCTGGACACGGTGCCTGTAAGCAGCTGGGGGCAGAGAGCATTCCCAAAAGTTCAACTCAAAGGTAATGAGCCACACAGCAAATATCACTAGCAAATGTAAGAGTTCCTACCATCCATCTTGACACATCATCCCACCATCTCACCCAAACCCACCCCTCCTTTCAACTTTCAACCTTAATTCCCACCAGAGGACAGAAGAGGGAAAGTCATGACTATTAATTCTCCTAGGGTTTCAACAATCTACGGCTTCTGGACAGGGAGAAGGTATATTATCTGCTCCACTTCCCTGACCCCGAATACATACCATGCCAGGCTTCAGGGCCTCAGCACTCAGCACTTTATTGACTTTTTGAGGGTTGAGAGAGAGTCTGACATTCCTTTTGCCCTTCTCTTTGACGACCAGACTGCTCACCACACATCTCACCAGCATCCCAGGTGAGAAGAGTTCAGGCAAGCCCACCAGGTCCTGTATAACACAAATGAGAAATCTGAGACATGCCCTTTCCCAACACTGAGAATCCTTGTCTGGCCCTTGCTCAGTGGTTTCTCCTCCTCAGACCAGAGCAATTAAAATCCAGTATTCGCTCCAGGCTCAATTTTCTCGTCTCTTCTCACTCTATTTGCTCCCTCTAAGCTCCCTCTTCTCCCTTCATAGCTTGTTACCACTTATACGAGATGTTGGCACACATTTACGTTTCTAACCCTGTTAGAGCTCTGCAATCACCTATCAACTGCACCTCCAACGCAACATATCCAAAAATCAAATCATGGTCATCTCTCCCATCCAGGGCCCCTTTGGAGTTTCCTATCTTAGGATGGGATGGCTGGCGATCAACAGAACCCGAGGGTTCATTCCTGACACTTTACTCTGACTCACCATCCACACCAAAACCATCACAAGGACTTTACCTCCCTCAGTTCTCAGTGAATTCTTACCCCAAGCTGCCAAAAATCTGAGTCTCATAACTGGCTTTCAATCTATACTCTATGTTGTCTACATATCACCCATCCCAATGAGACCATTTCAAGTGGTTCCTATTGATTCTAGAAAACCTTCATTACTAGGGTGAGGCCTCCACTCAGCTCTTGAGCCCTATCCCACGCCACTCTCCCTGTGCCTTCCGCTTCAGTCATACAAGTCTTCTCTCTGCTGCACACCATGCCCTTCTGCCTGAAGGCCCTTCCTTCTTTACCTAATAAACCCTCCTCCTTCAGATCACAGTTCAAGCATCCGTTCCTCAGGAGGCCTGGAAAATCTTCTAGGCTCCCTGGACAAAGTCAAAATCCTCTTACTAGTTAAAAGAAAAAAGATTAAAAAAAAAATTCCTTCACTGCAATGCTCAGGGCACATTATACTTTCCTTTTTAGCACTTAACAAAGTTGCAATTTTATATCTGTTTATGTACCACTTATTTCTAGAACAAGACTACATTCAGGTTTCTCTTACCTTCAGAGGTTCTTCTTGTGCCACCTGTTCATTCAGTTTTTTGGTGTAAGTATCACAGATTTCAGTCACTTGTACAAACCCCTGGAGGCCATTAGGGAGACTGATCACCAATTCCAGTTCATTTACCTCTTTTACACAACCCAAAATCCGCATCCCCTCACATAGGGACTACAAAAGAAAAAGTGAAATGTGTGAATTGGAGAAGAGAAAAATGATTAGGGATGTTAGAGGATCAAATTTCTAGCCCCAACTCTAACATGAAAATGACAAGAGTTCCATAAGTGAAAAAGAAAGACATACATATGTGTATATGACAGTGCATTTATCAAACATCTGACGCAGCACCATAGTAATAAATTATACTAATATTAACAGCCCAAGAGTGCTGACAAATGACTTTGTCATTTGCTTTATTCCAAGCAACACAAACTCAAATGCCTGGCTGGTAACACAGTGAAGGAAACAGGCCAACAAGACAGCAGCCGTCTGGCATATGCATGCCAGCCTGGAGGTTGCCATTACCACTTGTTCCACATGACTATGAACATGAGGGAATGTGCCATGTGCTGTTGGCACTTGAAAGTTTTACAACACGCCAGGAATCACACTTTTACGTGAAGTATTTCAGTTGTCTAGTATTCAACAATTACCTTTTTTTAAGTACCATACAAGACAAATAAATACTTCTCCAGGCTGAACCTGAATCTTTTGCACAACTAACATGCCAGAATTATAATCTACAAAATAAAGGAACATAAGACGACTTCACTTCTCTAAGACAGTTTCCACATCTATCAGATAAAGGGGAGAATTAGAATAATGATGAAAGCTATTGCCAATTCTAGCCCAGGTATCTACTAAAACACAAGTTCCACAAGGAAACAAGCAGAACAGGGGATTCAGCAGCTAAAAAGAGTAACAAAAAACCACACATGAGGGCCTCCCTGGTGGTGCAAGGGGTTAATCCTCAGCACTATCAAGCTATCACCAGCCACAGCAGCACGAGTTCAACTCCTGCCCAGGGAGCTAACCCACATGGCGTAGCAGACCTCTCCTGTCTCACCCGCTGCTCCCCTCAGCAGCATAGTTCAGTCAATCCGCCTGTTCTGCTCCCCACTCTGTCTCTGGTAAATCCTCTCACCCCTACACCTCTGGCCTACACCCAGCTCTTGCATGCATTAAAAAATAAACAAACCAAAAACCACACATAATCCCAGGTATGATTAATAGCTAAAAGAAACAGAATGCAGTCTGACACCAAACTGCAAGAATCTCTACAGATGCACACACACAGTGTATATATGCAAATATATATGAACATATATATACATGAACATGTCATGTATTTCATATTTGTGTATATAAAAAGGAAAGAAAGAAAAATGCACACAAACTTAAGCAACCCAGGTAGTTTGTTCATAACAAGACCAAATTTTAACAAACCTCAATATTAAGGATTTCAAACTTCTCTCTTACAGACTTGCTTCTTTCTCTCTTTTCGATTTTCAATCTTTTTGTTTTTGCTGGCCCTTTCAGGCTCTTTTTCCTTTTGGTAGATTCCTCTTCAGCAGAAATCTTGGGGTAGGGGAGGGGAGAGAGATCCAAAACAATAAGAATTCTGGCTTTACCCTCTATTTTCAGGTCATCTGTCACCTTGCTTTGTTATTTCTTCAGTACAATTTCTTCTTTAATTTAATTCCTGCTCCATCCCAATTCTCCCATCCTGCTCCTAGTGTTCCCGTTGCTCAAGGTCTGGGCTTCCTTATGTTCTTAAGTCTTTCTCCCCTGTGTTTTTCTTCCCTTTACTGGGATGGACACTGGGGTTCCCCAGAACGTGAAGCAATTTGAAACAGTGTGCAAAAATGGAAGGTGGAGTCACAGAGACTTAAGTCAAACACCCAATTCCACCATAACAAGCTGTGTGGCTTCATCTTTCTTGGTTGTCATCATGGAATGGCAAACTTTACTTCATAGTAAAGTTGGAAAGATTACATAGAAAGGCATAAGGCCAATTCCCTGGTGGCGCAAGGGGTCAAACACCGCACTATGAAGCAATCCGCAGCCTCTGCAGCACGGGTTCGATCCCCGGCCGGCCACAGAAAAACCTACATGGTGCAGCAGACCTCTCCTGTCTCTCCCACTGCTCCCCTCAGCAGTGTATTTCAGTTAGTTTGCCTGTTCTGTTCCCTACGCTGTCTCTGGTGAATCCTCTCTCACCCCCCGCATCTCTGGCCTGTACCCCAGCTCTTGTATGCATAAATAAATGAATCTTTTTTTAAAAAAGGCATAAGGCCATGCAATCAAACATTAGTTCTCTTCCCTCCAGCATTTGGAACACAGACTACTCTTGGTAAAGATTGCAAATTTTAATGCAAATTATGAACATTATATATAGCAAGGAACCATGTAATGGTTAAAATGCATAAAATGAGATGATAAACTACTTTTTCTCCATCCCAATTAACACAGCACAAAGAGCACTAAAAACTCAAATACTAAATGCCATGCTTCAGAACATATAGCCTAATAGTGATATCAATTCTTTAACAAATTCAATTTACAAAAGGGGACTTCGAAAAGAAATAAAACTGGAAAATAACAGTCTCGAGTAAGGATCATTTCTTCACAAGCACACAAGAGAGAAAATGTTCAGTCTTACCAAACAAGCACACCACTTACATCAAATAAGTTGTCTTGTTCAACTGACTGCTGGAAAGCTTTCTCTGATTTGTGGGTTTTTCTTGTACCCCCTCGGGGGAAGCTTTCTTCCATGGTTGCCATATTTGGGTCTCCTAAAAATAATGCAAAGCACAACACTGAGATGTAGCCATAGTGTCAGATTTCCTAAAGGTTATGATTAAGGTGCAGAGACAGAACCTTCCAGCACCCATGTGCTAAACAGTATTCAGGACTAAGAATAGATGGCTTGATGCCAGATACCAGATAATCCATAATTTACCTTCCCAAAGGTCTGCTTCAAAACATAAGTCCACACTTTTCCCTCCAGGGAAAGAAGTTATAGATTCAATATAGTAAACATCACTAAGGAGCCACAGCTAAGTCAGATACATAATTGAATGTAACCCTCTACCTTTAAAGAACATGCACACTTTTAGGAAGATAAAACGATTATGCAATAATTTAAAATACAAATCAGGTTATAAACGATCAACAAAGAGGTTTTAGCAAAGGAGGCAAACTTCCCAAATATTCTTTTGAAACGAATGTTAAAATGTGAATAGTAATTTCATAGGTGGAAAGGAAAGAGCAGAAAGAATATGAGAAGAGGCATGAAAACAAGAAGTCAATTCTTTCAATAACCACCAGCAATCTGTCAATTACTCAAAAGCTTGCTGTTCTCTTTCCTTGACGAATCATTCAATTAGATCAGAGCAAATAAAGCATAATAAAATTAAATTTTAAAAGACAAATTGTTGGGGTTTTTTTTTTTGGTAAAAGATACTGAATTAAATGAGTAGTTTACTCTGACAAGTCAAAGTCTTCTATAAGGGGAGATGCAGAACAGTAATCGAGAAAAAATACATATACTGCAGTCTACATACTGGAAAGTGAGAGGACTGAAGGAAAGTAGACCGAGTAGGACCTACTTGTAGTACAGCTGAGAAGCCGGAGAACCAGAACATGCAATGTGAAAATGAGAGACACTTAGGAATAAGAATCTAGAAAGGTTTGCGTTTGTAAAAGAAGTGACACCGGTGAGGTAGCCTACGGGTTGGAATCAAGAATGGGAGTGTGCTCGTAGAAACAGTGAGGTGCAGTGGGATCTAGTTTGCTGGGAATCTGATCATTTCAGGCAAGGGAAAACCCAAGCTTGAACATGTTAAGCGGCAAAGAAGACTTAAGCCAATTCCCCGGACAGAGCCGGAGCCTGCAAGGCCGGCCACTCTAGCAGAAAACGGCTTCTGATCTAGCCCTGGGACAGAGCAGAGAGCCACGAAGACAGCCTTTGCCATCACTCACCAGCGCCGCGACCTTAGCACCTCTCTACTTCCAAGCCGCAGCACGGCGATCACACACGCGGGGACCAGCGGACCCACGCCCCGAACAAGCTCTTCCGGAATGTGGGCGGGCTTCACGCCCTACTTCCGCCACTACGCTGCGTCCTACAGGGCTGCGGCGGGGGCGGGTAGGCGGGTCAGAGACCGGAAGCGGAAGGGCGGGAGTTCGCGCCTCAGCCAATCGGCGCAGAGGCTGAATCGCGGTGGCCTGTGGACCGCGTGCGGGGGAGGAGGCTTCTTCCGGCCGGGCCGAGCGGCCGCTTTGCGCACTTTGAAGGACACGGTCTGAGGGGTTCGTTCCTGCTGCAAGGTGCGTGTGGAGGGGCGCCCAGGCCCGGACCTCGCGCCTCCGCCGTGTGGGGCGGGGGAGAGCCTAGACTCTTATCGCTTCTGGCTCGAGAACCCCGCTAGGTCTGTCGTTTGGGGGGGGCGGCGAGAGCCGCGGGGAGTGGCGAGGAGTTGGGTGCGAGGGTCGGGCCGTGGCTGGAAAACCTCGGCCCAGGCGGAGGCGCGCTCCCAGGGGCTCCCAGAGCTCCGCAGCCCTCAGATTGCATTTCACACTGGAGGAAAATGAGGCCCGCAGCAAAGGGAGTCCCCCAAGGTCACCCAGTGACGTAATACTGGGTGAGAACTCGGATTTCGAACCCCACCTCCGGCCGAATTAACCTCCTTCCCTCTGCGCACCCCGAGCTGTTTGTTTCCAAGGAACTGTGCTTGGGAAGCTGTTCGGCCAGGCCGCCTCTAGCTGCGTTGAAGCCTTTGTTAAAGAGAGCGAGTGTAGACGGCCCCTGCAGTTCCCGGGCCCGCCGTCAGCGTAGTTGTCAATCTGTGGGATGCGGGAAGCCTTTCACGGGAGGTAGCCAGAGCCGAGAGTGGTGAATTCGTACGAGAGGCTGTCTCTGAAACCTGAGCGGCTCACGCTCGTCTTTCCCTCCTTTACCCCGTGATCTCGCCATTCCAGGTAGGGGTCCCCTCAGATAGAAAAACAGCAAAATGAGGAAACTAGTAGCGAGGGCAACTGGTCGCTTTTGGCCTTTTCTGAAATGTTAGAGAGGCATGGAAAGCTTAATTGCATTCAGTAGCGGTTCACTGCTTCATGAAAAACAAAAGCAGAGACCCCATCGCTTAGACTTTTCCCATGGCTACCATTTAACAATTAGTAGTATTCATCTTAAGTTCTTTTTCTCCATTTATGTGTCTTTTAAAACTTGCAGCTCAAAAAGAAAGCAAATTTCAGTTGAGACACTGCCCAAAGGGCGCTTTAAAGCAAGGGTTTGTGATCTTTGCCCAGAAGTAACTGCAGTTTGCTGAAGGATGCAGACCCAGGTGTTTCCACGTTTTGCTCCTAGCGAAATCCTACTTCCCACTCCCACTCCATCTCAGCCTTTCAAAAGTCTTCCTTTAAGACCCAGAGTAAATTTTAGTTCCTATAACATGCCCTTCTCTGTAGTCAGAACTAGTCCTCTAAGGAATGTCACAAACATCTTTCATCCCATATTGTGTAGAGAGAAATTTAAAGCACCTTTATGTTGTGACTAGATACCACATCCCCCTAAAAAATTTTGTTAAACACATGGTAGTAGGGGTTATCAGTTAATAATTGGGCAAAGTTTTGTTGCTGTTTTCTGTAGGGTTTCTCCTAGGAACCTACTTGGTACTATAAAAGTCAAAAAATATATCAGGAAATGAAATATATTTAAAATGTTTAGTAAAATGAAACAGTATAAAACCTACTCTATAAAAGATTCCTTGTAGTAGAGATTTTCTTATTTGGTCTGAGTAGGGGATAACCTCTGAGGGGGCCCAAGGAAGTTTGGATTTTGTTCACTGCTCCAAAAATCTTGAAACAATACTCAAGAGGTCACTTGCCCAATTTATATAACTGCCAATTTTATTCACATGAATGCCCCTGAAGGCCTTTGAATGATGAATAGGGAAGTGCCAATTTCCATAGTAACTGCTTCCTCACCCATCTGTCTTTCTCCCCAGTTTCATCTAGAGCCAGCTGATTCATTGTCACTGCCTATCAATCTCGACCGGACCTCGACCGGCTCGTCTGTGTTGCCAATCGACTCGGTGTGGCGTCGGTCGTGGTAGATAGGCGGTCATACATACGAATTTTCAAGTGTTGTTCTGGTGACCTTTGAATGTGCCTGTTATTTTTTATTATAAAAGAAATAGTTGCCTTTGTAAAATACTATAGCTAGCCCTCCCCACCTTAAAAGTTAGCTATATATTTTTCTTGGATTTTTTTCTGTGTAATTTCTAGTAAGTGTTTGGTTTTGTTTCTAGCACTATAATGTTTTTCAAACTTTAACATCAGATTCACCTAGGGGGCTTATTAAAACAGATTGCTGGGGGCCTCCCCGGTGGCGCAGCGGTTGAGCACTGGGTTGCGAAGCTGCCCGCGGCCTCTGCAGCGCCGGTCCCACCAGAGGAGGCTCCCACATGGCGCACAGACCCCTCCTGCTGCCCGCTGCTCCCCTCAGCAGTGTACTTCGGTCCTTCTGCCTGCTCTGCTCCCTGCTCTGGTGAATTCTCTCACCCTCCCGCGCTTCTGACTGTACCCAATGCATGTATAAACCAAATAAATAAATAAAACATGCCTCTATTTTTAAAAAATAAAATAAATTAAAAAATAAAACCAGATTGCTGGGCCCCAGAGTTTCTGATTCAATAGACCTGAGGTACAGCCTGAAAATTTGCATTCCTAGCACTCTCCCAGTGATGATGATGATGATGCTGGTGTAGGCACCAGATTTTAAGAAGCAATATGTACCCTGTAATGTCCACAAATAGACTTTTTTAAACGTTTAACATTACATGGGAACATCATCTTTCCATGTCAGTACATAAAAATGTAATGTATTTCTGCCATTGGAAACCATCATTTTGATAAATGTAGCCGGACTTTGTTTTTCTAATTTTTTACATTCCTCAACCAGTATTTCAGTCACCATCCTTGAACCACATGTTCTACTTCGTAATATTCTACAAACTACCAGCTAGAAGAGAGTATGAACACTTTATAATTTGATAAATACTACAAAATTGCACTTTACGGAAGTTGTACTAGTTGAGCTATTTAGTTAGTGGTTACCCCTCTGAGAAACATGAAATTCTCTCAAGCTCCAGTTTTCAACTAGTCTTTAAATGGTTAATTCCATGTACAACATACCATGGTATAAAGCCAGGAATGAAAAATACACCAAGCAATATTACATCAGAAGGTAGTCTTAGAAAACTGCTCATCCCTTGCTAACTGGTTTGACTTACGTTCTGAGGTGTAAGATTAAGATTAAGGTGTAAGATTTTCCTTCCAAAAGTTTCTCTTATCAGCAAGACATTTTTCATTCTCTTTGCTACTGCACTGGTGGGTGAGACATATCTAAAAATTTACAGTATTTATATGTAGTGACTTTCACTTAATTTTGCTTTTTTTTTTTTAAGGATTGAAATCATGGCAGGTGCAGAAAGTGATGCCCAGTTCCAGTTCACTGGCATTAAAAAATACTTCAACTCTTACACTCTCACAGGTAGAATGAATGTAAGTATTAATGATGCTTTTAAGTGGTTATATCTTAGAATAATAATAGGTGTGACAAAAGTTCATTTACTTTTTTCCACTGTTTTCAGTGTGTGCTGGCCACATATGGAGGAATTGCTTTGCTGGTCTTATACTTCAAGTTAAGGTCTAAAAAAACCCCAGCTGTGAAAGCAACATAAAGGGTGAGGAGCTGCTATTTAAAGTTAATAACTTAGCTATTTTGATGTTAAGATTTTGCTCCCTACTGTAAAACTGTTTTCATTGTTCAAAAATTCCAAGAATATATAAAATTTTGCCTGTGTCCCATTACACTGAGAGTTGTGCTTTAGTGTTTAAAATTGCATTTTATTTGGGTTTTGATGGCTATAATTGCTTCTGCAACTTTTGTAACAAGTATGCTTTATTTTACAGAGGAACTCTGTTAGAATTTTTTTAAACATAAAACATTTCAATGAGTGTTTTTGAGCCTGTAGCCTATGTCAGGGTTTTAAGCTAAAGTGTTTTCCTAAAGGGTTGTCAGGCTCCCAGCTTTATAAAAGGGTGTCTCTTTTATAAAGAGACCAAAACTGTGTATCATTTTTTTGGTTTTTAATTTGATAGGTAAAACTGTCTCTTTGATAAAAGCACTTTTTTTTTTTTTTCCTATTTGTTATTTGGTATTTTCCTTAACAGTCTATTTATGTATTTTTTTAATTTCACAACTGGGTCTTTCAGTCTCTTTGTAACTTTTATAAGCTCTTTAATATTTACCATCCAACCTTTTATCAGTTGCAAATATATCTTGTTTTATCCTATAGTTCGCTAATTTCAAATTTAATATAAGCAACAGCTTTTCCCTAAATCCCCTGAGACTTCATTTTCATGTTGTCTTTGCCCACCACCATTTGCTATCTGTCGTGTTGGTAGTAGATGTACAGAAAACCCAAAACCCAGATCTTTACCTTGTAGCTGTCCCTTATAGACAAAACTTTTTTCCCTCTGCTCTTATGAACTTTTCCAATTCTAAAACTGTTGACCTTAGGGCACTGCAAATCCATGACTTACTCCTGACAAAATAGTAGTATTTTGTTCCTTTAGGTACCTCTTAACTTTGGGAAAACAGTAGTATTCTCATTATGAAAATGGAGAAATTGTACCTCAGAGGTTAATAAGGGATACATATCTATTTTACTGCTGCAAAAGTTTATATATTTGTAGGATCATACTAAATTGTTGTCAATACCTTTTAAGCTGGGAGATAACCTTAATTTGGGGAGGTACTGAATCCTTTAGGAATGAGTTTGCATTCAATTTCTGGACAGGTGATTGAATGTCTTTAACAGTAGACTTGGACATGTTTTTGTCTAAACTGTTTTTGCTTCATTATAGGATTCTAAACGCATCCCATCTGTTCAGTTCCCATGCCTGGAGAAGCTAGTGTCAACTCATTATGTGATAATTTGTACAATAAATTATGAACCTGGAAAAGCTGGTTGTCTTTATTTACAAGATATCAAAAATATAAAAACTGTACAAAATGCAACAAAGGCAAAAAACTGGCAGTGACTTGGTCTAAATCTTTTAGTTTCCCAAAGCAAGGCTCAGTACTGGAGGTAAGCAACTGAAATGTCTGTCTGACTTCAAGTGTATTAGGTTGTATGTAGCCATTTTAGATTTTAGCTGAAGTAGAACATGGAAGCTAAATTTCTTCACCTGGTTTATAGAGTGGGTGCACTCAAAATCCAACAGGTATAAATTCAGATGTCAGTGGGTGGTTGTACTTCATCTAGTTCTTAAAAACTGTAGTTCATTCTACCCAATTACATACATTCCACTAATCATGGGCCATGTAAAAATGTTAGTGGATCAGTTGACATTGTACTTTGAGTGTTCTACGGTAACTACATTTTTACAGCAGAAGCATACATGCTCAGAATTCTTCAGCTAAAATTCAAGACAGTATTATATTACTCAATTTGAATCTTGAAGCAGATGAATTATTGAAATTGATTTTTTTCCCTAAACATAATAAATTAAAATAGCATTTGAACAGAAAATGCATAGTTTCCACACAATCCAAAGCACCATAAATGTCCCCTCCGTGAACATAATACCTCTTATTCAACTAACGGAAATTAGTTAAATATGGTTGCTATAGAAACGTGGAACAGTCCTGATCAGATTTTCCAAGCAGCATACTTCCAGATCCATATAGACAAAACATTCTTTGTAGCTTAAATATTAATCACTGAGGTATTTGCTTTTAGTCTCCCTTTTTCAAACAGTAGCTTCCAAAAGGTCTTTAATACCGATGGTTTATTGTGGACTGTAAGCTCCTGCAGCTAGAACCAAGTTTCTTCGAGTAAAGTGGAGGTGTACAACTGGTGTTGATTTGGTCATGTATGTTCCCAACAATAACTCCTGTGAATTCTCAGGTAAATTTATATGCCCAGTAGCTGTAGTAAAGTCATCAGTCTCTAAATCTTCAAATGCTTTGACAGCATCCCATAATCGGACTGTGTTATCCATTGATCCTAAGGGGAAATCAAAGAAAATTATTTAGTAGCATCCATTTAGATTCTGACATTTTGTCATGTATACTTACTGTATATTTCTAGTGAAAAATCTAAAGGAGCATTTCAAGCAATACTTGTCAAATATTCTCTGAGAAGACTTCTACTATTCAAATTTTGGTATGTGTAAAATGACTCTGGAATCCTATGGCTAAAGTGAAGAAAACCCTAAAACAGCAGGACTTAGTTTTGTAATTGTCAACACTCAGTGTTTCCTTATAATATGCCATTTACCACAAAGTCACTTTAAGACATTTACCTGATGCCAGAATTTCACCATCTCTACTAAACCTAAGTGAACAGACTGTATCAGTATGGCCTTTTAATTCTCCAACCATCAAACCATGTCCAATATCCCAAAGGAGTACTCTGCCATCTGTTGCTCCTGTAGCCAGGAATCTCCCATTGGGAGAAAATGTCAAGGAATGAATTGGTCCCTAGAAAAAGAAGTCCATGGAAAGAATCAAAATTAGGGTTAATTATGAAAATAAGACAGTAGAGTTCAGTGGCATGAACAGTATGTAAAAATGTATGAGTGGCTAATTTTTTAATATAAAAAGCAACCTTGTATGCTGGAAATAATGAAGGTGTAAAATACCTTGTGTCCAGTAAAGACCCTTACACAGTTCCCATTCAGGACATCCCAGAGCCGCACAGTTCTGTCTGCAGAGCCCGTAGCAACATAGTTAGAATTTGGATGAAATCTGGTACAGTTCACATCAGCAAGATGACCAGCAAATATCCTTAAAGGTTGATAGTGGTCTGTAGCCCAGAGCCTTTTTAAGAATTTATTGAAAGTCAAGAATATGATCAGTTAACTATGTAATGACAAAATTCTATCAAAAATAACTATAGAAACAACCATTTGAAACTCCAATAGGTCCAATAGGTCCTACTCACTAACTGAGGGAAAGGAGGTGGAATTACGAGACTAAATGTTAAGAAAAACTTAGTTAAAAACTAAGTTTTTAACTAAAAAACTTCTGGTAATACAATTTTTCATCCCTTAGTTCTCTAAGTACCCCTCCCCACTCCCATTCCCTCCCCTTCCCCCCCATTCCAGTCTAATCCATAGGTACAAGTGTTCTCCCTAGTTTTGGCAACGACATAATTGATTTCTAACATGTATTGTACTTCATCCTGAACTTCTCAGGTGGTGAAAGAGAAACAAAAAGATGCTTACAGTGATAGTGAAAGATTAAGCATTTGATGGGAGGTGTGTCAAACTAATTTGAGAAAGAAAAGCAAAACTCTAGTATAGACATAAGTCCAAACAGTAATACTCCTATTCCAAATTCATTTTCAGATCAAGAGTCAGAAATACTGACATTCTCTAAAGGTTGATCCTAAATAATGAATGTGAAAATGAGTTTGGCTAGAGTCTGTAATTCCCAACAAGAAGCCATTCTGTTCACTGAATAAACCCAGTCATAAGATCACAATGTTCTTACCGAGCTACTCGATCGTGGCCCCCCGACACAAAATAATATCCATATGGAGAAAATTGTGTGTCCCATACTGGATAGTTGTGTCCTTTATAGCCCACCAAGCAAGTAAATGTTTGAAGACTCCACAATCTAACAGTTCCATCCTCTGAAGAGGAAAGCAGGTAGTTCCTAAGAGAAAAGATGGTACTAAAATTGATTCCTAGAATAAATTTTAGTTACTTGTCCAGTATACTGAAATAAAATACAGCTAAATAACATGTTACATATCTCATTTTTAATTTATGCATGCCATTCACAGTAGATAAGCAAGTTGAAAATACTAATGGAGGCCTCCCTGGTGGTGCAGCGGGTTGAGCACTGTGCTATGAAGCTGTCCGCAGCCACTGCAGTACAAGTTCGATCCCTGGCCAGGGAGGTGACTCACATGGCACAGCAGACCTCTCCTGTCTTGCATGCTATTCCCCTCAGCAGTGTATTTCAGTGGATCTGCCTATTCTGCTCCCTAATCTGTCTCTGGTGAATCCCCCCCATCTCTGGCCTGCCCCCCAGCTCTTGTATGCATAAAAAAATACATCTTTAAAAAATAAAAAGGAAATATCTTTTTAACAAAAAAAAAAAAAAAAACACCATAGAACACTAATACCTTTTTCATAGATAAATGTAAAAGCTGAATATTCAGAAAGTTCATGGTTTCAATGAAATAGAAGTTTCCATCAAAAATGTATCATCTGACTAAACCCTTGACAGGCTAAAAGTTGTACCTATCCAAGTAAGATATAGATGGTATTTTATGAATACAATATGTCTTCCCTTCATTTCTGTTAGAGATCATGAAAAATAGCTAATATCAATTTGTGGTTTTCAAACTACCTTTTCAGTATTGTCTTAGTTTTTTTGATTATACAAAGGTAAATAAGCTAATATTTAAAAACCAACAAAACAGTCTTAATCAGTTTGACTTAGAATCAAGCTGTACATCTTGATTCTATCCATTTGATATACATTAAGTTGCTATCTTATATACCATTATGCCAAGATGAATTAGTAAATGTAAAGATTCTAAAAGAAAATGATAGACAACCATGAGACTTTTACAACAGAATTTTCCCCAACATTTACTTAATATTTCCAGTAGTTAGGGCCTCCCCAGTGGGGCAACGGTTGAGCACTAGGTTGCGAAGCTTCCCGCAGCCTCTGCAGCGCCAGTTCGATCC